GCCGGAGACCTCCCCAGCTCTGCTGTGGACGGGGAAGGTCGGCGATGCGTCTGCGTTCCGTGTCTGGGGATCTCGGGCGTTTGTCCGCGACTTGTCTGCGGACAAGCTGTCCCCTCGTGCTGCTCCCTGTGTCTTCCTCGGCTTCCCCCCTGACGCTCCAGGGTGGCAGTTCTACCACCCCTCCTCTCGTCGTGTTCTGTCCTCCCAGGACGTCACGTTCGACGAGTCAGTCCCCTTCTACCGCCTCTTCCCCTACCGCACTCCTTCCCTCCCCCCGCCACCGCACTTCCTTGTGCCAGGTCCCCCCCCGGTAGACCCCCTTCCCCCTCAGGGTCCTGCCCCTTCAGGTGTGTCCCAGGTAGACGCAGTCGAGCCGGTCGAGGTTGCTGGTGACTCTGGTCCTGCTGCGGGTGCTGAGCCTGGGGGTGCTGAGTCTGGGGGTGCTGAGCCTGGGGGTACTGCGACTGGGGGTGCTGAGCCTGGGGGTGCGGAGTCTGGGAGTGCTGAGCCTGGGGGTGCTGCGACTGGGGGTGCTGAGCCTGGGGGTGCGGAGTCTGGGGGTGCTGAGCCGTGGGGTGCTGCTACTGGGGGTGCTGAGCCAGGGGGTGCTGCGTCTGGAGGTGCTGAGCCTGGAGCTGCGGAGCCTGCGGCCACTGGACCTCCCCTTGTGGCGTCTGGCGGTGCGGGACCTGGCGGTTCTCCGGGTGCTTCGCCTCGGCGGGAGCCCCTCTCTCCACAGGAGCTGCGCGAGTGGTTTGCCCGGCGCTGGAGGCGTGCTGCTGGAGCTGGAGGTTCTTCGGCTACTGAGGGTGCTGGTGCCGCGGGTCCCGGAGGTGCTGGAGCTGGAGCTGCTGAGGGCGTTGGTGCTGAGGCTACTGCTGTCGGTCCTGGAGGCGGTCCTGCTGGGGGTGCTACTGGTGCTGCTGGAGGTCCTGGAGCTGGAGGTGCTACTGGCGCTGGTGCTGCCGCTGGGGGTACTGGTGCTGTCCCTGCTGTGTCTGGAGTCGTCGCGCGGCCTAGACCGTACTTCGTTCCGCTCCTTCAGCAGGTTCTTGGTCTCCCGCCTTCTACTGGTCCTCCTCCTCCCTTAGAGTGTCCACAGCCTGTTCTGTCACAGTTACAGTTACAGCCGGCCTCCCCACTGCCCGCTCCTTCTCCCTACACTGGTCCTACTGGAGGTCTTGCTGAGCGTCGTGAGCCTGCGTCTCGCCCTGCGTCGCCTGTCCGTGCTGCTCGCACTAGTGGTCGTGGTTCGCGTCAGCGTCCTCCTCCTGTCCCTGGCACGCACCGGATGTCTCTGCGTCCGTCCACTGCTCCTCTGCGTGCCCCTTTGCCTTCTCCTCCTGAGTCCTCTCTTCCTGCTCTTCCTGACCCGGAGTCGGACTCTCTTCGTGCTGCCAGTCCTGCTGTCACACGTCTCCTTGCTACTGTCGTCACTGACCCCTCTTTTGAGTCCACTGCTGCGTCTGCGCTTGTTGCTGAGCTCGTCGACTTTGCTGCTCGCTGTCGTCTAGACTACGCTGCCGGTCTTGTTGCTGAGTCTGCGTCTGTCTGTCCTCCGTCCGTCGGGGGTGAGTGTGCTCTTGGCACGGACGTCCTTGAGGACAGGCAGGAGGAGTTCAGGTGTCTGGCTGCTGCTTCACCTCATCTCGCGTCCGTACTACTTGCTCCTGAGGGAGACCCGGATGCACTAGACATCCCGACTCCGCGCTCTTACGCGGAGGCCGTAGAGGGTCCCTACTCCTCTCAGTGGCAGGCAGCTATGGATGCAGAGATGGCGTCCTGGAAGTCCACAGGCACCTACGTTGACGCGGTTCCCCCTCCTGGGGCGAACATCGTCAGTGGCATGTGGATCTTCAGGGTGAAGCGGCCGCCGGGCTCTCCACCTGTCTTCAAGGCGCGGTACGTCGCTCGTGGCTTCAGTCAGCGGCAGGGAGTTGACTACTTTCAGACCTTCTCTCCCACCCCGAAGATGACCACTCTTCGGGTGCTGCTGCACATAGCCGCTCAGCGCGACTACGAGCTCCACTCTCTTGACTTCAGTACTGCTTTCTTGCAGGGTAGCCTGCACGAGGAGATCTGGCTGCGCCGTCCACCTGGCTTCACTGGGACTTTTCCTCCTGGCACCCAGTGGAGCCTCCGACGGCCAGTCTACGGTCTCCGCCAGGCACCGCGTGAGTGGCACGACACACTGAGGACTACGCTTGCGGCTCTTGGGTTTGCTCCCTCTACTGCTGACCCGTCGTTGTTTCTGCGCACCGACACTTCTTTGCCGCCGTTCTACGTCCTCGTGTACGTCGACGACTTGGTCTTTGCCACCGCTGACACTGCTGGACTAGCCTACGTGAAGTCCGAGCTGCAGAAGAGACACACGTGCACAGACCTCGGTGAACTGCGCAGCTACCTTGGCTTGCAGATCACTCGGGACAGAGCACGCCGCACCATTACCTTGACTCAGTCACACATGGTGCAGCAGGTCCTTCAACGCTTCGGCTTCACGTACTCCTCGCCTCAGGCCACTCCTCTGTCTACTCGCCACTCGCTCTCAGCTCTGCCTTCGGATGAGTCCGTAGAGTCGAGTGGCCCGTACCCAGAGCTTGTTGGCTGCCTCATGTACCTGATGACCTGCACACGACCTGACCTTGCATACCCTCTTAGCATTCTTTCACGCTATGTTGCTCCTGGGAGACACCGACCAGAGCACATGGCTGCAGCGAAGAGGGTGTTGCGCTACTTGTGCAGTACGTCGGGCATGGGGCTAGTGCTTGGAGGGCGGAGTCCAGTGGTCCTCACTGGGCACGCGGACGCTTCTTGGGCAGACGACCAGGCTACACAGCGGTCGTCGCAGGGTTACACCTTCAGTCTTGGTTCCGGCTCTGTCTCGTGGCGGGCTACTCGCTCGTCCTCTGTTCTCAGCTCCAGTTGTGAGGCTGAGATCTACGCCGGGGCCATGGCTGCACAGGAGCTTCGTTGGCTCACCTACCTGCTGACTGACCTTGGAGAGCCGCCTCGTTCTCCTCCAGTGTTGTACGTAGACAACAAGGCCATGCTGGCCTTGTGTCGAGAGCAGCGCTTGGAGCACAGAACGAAGCACATTGCTCTCCGTTACTTTCTTGCTCGTGAGCTGCAGCAGCGTGGTCAGTTGCGACTTGCGTACGTGGCCTCTGAGGCCAACACTGCTGATGTGTTCACCAAGGCACTTGCGCCTTGTGACCATCAGCGCTTCTGCACCCAGCTGGGTCTTGTACCTGTCTTGCCTCACTTGCTCTCTTCTTGACCTTGCTTGTACTGTCACATATATATTCCTGCTCTTGCTTGTCTAGCTCTATATATATATGTGTACTCCTGCATGTGAACTGGCCCTGTTGCCCTGTCGTTGTGCTCGGACTGTGTGGTGACTTTGTGATCCACCCTGAGCTTGCTCTGCTTTGCTTGACTGGTCTTGTGACCCCTTGTTCTCCCCCACTTTGCCTATGGGGGTGTGTCAGAACATATATATAGCTTATGCTGTTGTGTAGGCTATAGTGGGGTATCCCATAGGGGGTACAACCCAATTAGGGTTTCCCATATGTACTCACTTCATTCATAGTTCATTCATTTCTCGTTCTACTATTCTCAGTGTAATCACCAACAGAAACACAGTTTCTCGATATAGTGTGAATCTATTCTGTTTCATGTTTGTATACAGTCACTCAAAAAGAGGAAGTCTAGCACTTGCAATAAATGAATATAATGTCCGTAGCGAACCTATATGTTTTGCAGGAAGGATCAACCCTAAACACCGAAAGCCTCCAAATATTTTGGAAAACATATTGCAACCCACTTGACAAAAAAGATAATACCCACCTCGGAAAGGGATGCGACTCGGGAGGCATCAACCCTATAAACAATGCCCATTTCCGTGTTTAGGGTTGACCCCAATCGAAAATGCATCCAGGTTCCCTAGGGGTTTTATTTTTTTCTGCCATGCCCGAATAGGTCTCGGTAGCGTCGTCTAGTGCTTTCGGTAGCGTTGTTTAGCGGTCGGTTGCGCTACTGAGCACTACCAAGTGAATTATATGGGCTTCATTCTCTTACTACCTTAATTTCCGTACATATATCCAGGTCGGGAGGGTAAAGTGGTTGGTTTTGTTTTTATCACTTCCTAATGAGTACGACCAGCGTGAGAATTGTGACTAAAAAGCGACGACCAATCAACGTTGAGAAAGTCCAGGTTGATTACACCTGAGAACGCGCTCAGGCAAAATCTGAGTATCGGAGATAATGGCCGCAGTTGAAATGGTCAACGGAAATTTGGACTTTTTGCGACCTCACGTCTTTACACATTCTTGTTCCACCACATTCTTCGAGCCGCAGGTGGGAGGCGGGCGAAAAGAGGTGAACAGCTGTAAACGCTCCCACTACCCCTCTGCACCGCGCACCGATCCCTTTCGTATCCTTGTTGCCTGTGGGGTGGTGGTGGAGCTTCGACTGCTGGCGATGTGAGTTGCTGCTTGTGCCCCGGAGCATGTGTCTAGTCCGAAGTGCAGAACATTGTTTGCAGCCCTTGACGGTTCCACACGGTAGAAATCGGTTTTGAGCTACACTGTTTTGTACCGTGACGAAATGAATCACACCGCAAAGAAAGTACCGAGACGTTCGAGCTGGACACCTGATGCCTCCACACACCCCCACACGAAATGCGTGGAGGGGAGCCGCATCCGCTGGGCTGGGGGCATACATACAAATAGTCGCTGCAAAACGTACAGAACTCGTAGTAGGTTGACATTTGTTTTCCTAGCAACTTATTTCTTTCCATGATGCTGACTCCTCCTCGAACTCTGAGTCCGAGTCGTCCGAGCCTCACGCCCGTGATTGCGGCGCCAGCAAAATCCCTCTTAACCGCGCTGCTTCTCCTCTTGCTTCAGGTGCACGTCCGCCCGACACTTCTGGCAGCATGTGCGTACACCGTACCGCACCGACCCAGGCGCCTCCCCGGCGCGGCTTCTGCTACCAGATCCATGGGACGGCTGAACGCGCGCGGCAGGGTCGTGCGCTCGCCGCAGCACACCACAGTGAACTCTGCGACTGCCGCGACAACCGGCGCAGCTAGTGCGAAAACCGGCGCAGCTAGTGCGAAAACCGCCACTGGAGTCGCCGTGAAGGCCGCGGCCGGAGGGTGTTCGGCGTCGTCGATCGCAGGTTACACGTCCTCCGTCGCACTCTCAGGATCCGAGTACGGTCTCTCTCCGAGTCGCTTCCCCATCTCTCCCACTCCCACCTCGCCATAGCGCTTTCCGAATCTGGCCCTTTCCTCCCTTCCCTTCTTTGACGCTTTTCCCCCCTCCCCCTTTCCTCCCTTCCCGCTTGCCCAGTCTCGTGCTCCACTGGGCCAAAGGCGCGGGCGGCGGCAGCCTTTCCCTCGCCATGGAGGTTGGCGGCGCGGCGGCCAGCGGGTGGGTGGCGGTGGCGTGGTCGCCGACGCCGTGATTGGCGGGCTTCCGGGCGGCGCGGTGAAGGCGTACGCCATAGGCGGGTACAGCGAGGCGGACGTGCGCCCCACCAGCCGCTTCTCCATCGGCTCCGCCTCCTCCGCCAATGGCGGCTCGCTCATCAAGTACGTGACTCGCCGCCGCTGCGAGACTTAACGTTTGACGGCATCGTTGGAGGTGTGCCATGTGCGCACCACAGCAGTCGCGTTGCCGTGTCGCGCCGCGTGTTGGTACCATCAGTTTTAGTAGATCGCTCACTCCACTCCCACGGCGGATGTCACGCGGAAATGCGTTTACCTACTATTAAATCTCCCTCTCATTGCGCCGCTCTCTGTGCTTTCCTGATCGCTACCGCAGGTTCTCTCGGTCATCTGGCGACGGAGCAGTGCCCGTGAGCATGGCGGGGAGCAACAGCCTCATCTGGGCCTTCTCCAGCGACCAGTCTTCAACTGTCGCCGACCACGGCGGCAACTAGTACGTCCCTTGTAGCCACAACCCGCTCTCCCTCGTACTAGCACCCTCAGCCACCCACTATCTTGCTGCATCACGACTCTCACCTCTGCTATCTGTGTTCTACATCTATCTACCACCAGAGTTGCTTGTCTTGTGCTGGCGTCAGCTACTGCCGAGGCTGTCCTCCCACGTGGCGGCGCAGACTGAACAGGGTATCCGTGTTTGTCCCCCATGTGTCTCTCTGTCGCCCTGTGATGACATCTTGCAGTGGCCAGGCAGATGTGGACTTCAGCTGCACGGGGTCAACTGGGGGCGGCACTGGCGGCGGCACTGGGGGTGGTACTGGGGGTGGGACTGGCGGCGGCACTGGCGGTGGTAATGGGGGTGGAAGCGGGGGAGACAATGGCGGAGGTGACTATGGCGGAGATTACGGTGGTGGCAACGGTGGTGACTACGGGGATGGCTCTGACTGTGCAAGTGGCGGTGATTACGGCAATGGTGATGGTTCTGGCAACGGCAGTGATTATGACGATGGTGGTGATTACGAAGGTGGAGATGGCAACGGAGATGGTAGCGGTAGTGATGGTGATTATGACGGAGATGACTATGGGGATGGCGACTACAGTGGTGAGGGCGATGACTATACTGGAGATGACAGCAACGGTGATTATAACGAAGGAGACAGTGGAGATTACAGTGCAGGGGATTACACGGACTATGGCACGGCTGGTTCTGGTGGGAATGCTGCAGCTAGTACTTTGGCATATGGAAAAATGGGTAAGCTGTGGGGAAGATTCAAGCAATGGTTGAGAGCATCTACTAGTAAGGCTGGGAACAGGTCGAAGCAGTTTCGCACGGGAACAAGAAAGCATGGATTCAAGGCTAAGGCGGCTGCGCACGCTGCTACTGCAGGGCACATGGGCACACGTGTGTGGCAGGCGAGACATGCCCAGAGAAAGAAAGTCAATGGGGCTCAGGGAGTCAATGCAGTCAACAGGATGAATGGGAGCGGCACTGCTGGGTTGAAGGTGGCGGAGAAGGCACATGCAAAGCAAAATCAGCAGGTGCAGCACAGGCCAACTGCTGCAGGGTGGGCAGGAGGTAATGCTGTGAGAGATCCTGCACCAGCAGCCACCAGCAAGCCCGTAGCTGCAGGGAACACACCGTGAGGGTGGAGCTCCGGTTGATCAATCTCAAGGGTGTGAGTATCACTTGTACAGATGCAATACAAGCTGGATGGTGGGGAGGAACGAGCTTACCATACCACCCTTTGGATGGTGTTTAGTTGGTACCAACTGTAAGATCTCTCTGGGTGGTCGTTTGGATTCAATCAGGATTACTTTGCTGGTGGGACTGTAATATTGGGAAATCAATATATATATACATATATATACATATATATACATATATATATATACATATATATGTACATATATATATACATATATATATGTGCATTGATTGATCTGACAATTTCAAAGGTTGAGTAAATTGCACAATTCTGTTATCAAATGTTGATGTGCTCATCAGTCTATTTCATTAGGGCGGGTCCAGCGTGTACGTTTACAGTTCATTCGTAGTGGTTTGAAAAGATATCAAGCGTTGCACAACGGTTCTGAAATTGTACCGTTTTGTACCGTGACGGAATACAGATTACCGCATTGGATGAACAGTAATGAACGCAAAACGTATGCGGTGGACCCGCCCTACCCGCCACCAGCAGTAGCGCTTTTTACACAGTACACCCATCATGCCAATGCAACTGCGCCTCTGCTGCGACAATGTTTGCCTCGGAGCCCTCCGCCACGGGCAAGTCACCCCCCGTCCGCCCTCACTCCCCCCCATTTCAGCCCCCCCGCACCCCAGACTGTACAAATGTTCTCGATTAGAGTCCCCGTGAAAAACACGCGCGCTGCGGGCCTTTGTGGAAAACTCACAAACCCCGGGCAAAAGGGAACTTATAGTCCCATATAAGGAAAATTGCATGAAAGGTGAATTGTCTTCGCTAATAGTCGTGTTTTCTTGTCACATACGTACATTCGGACTACGCTGTCTTCAAATTCTCGTCGCACGATTCGCCGCGTTGATCAGTGTCGCAGGACAAACGGGCAGAAAAATACAAAATAAAATCATGTTTAAGGCCAAAATGAAAGCCAACATTTTCTGTTTTACACTGTAAGCGAGATTAGTTAGATGGTATCGTCGGAGCTCGCGGGGAACACCGCGACAGGATTTAGACACAAGCGCGATCAAGAGAAACAGACAATCATAACTGCAAAAATAAATAGTGAATCAGAACTTCCTCTCGTTTTATTTTCTGTAAATTTTCTGACTGGCTCGATTTGCGTCCTCTGATTGGCTGCGGAACTGATTCGTGCAATGATTCAGTCAAGATGCAAGATTTCCCGCCAAAAAGGGGACTATAGAGGTTGGGATACACCTAGGACTTATGTGAAATTCTACTCGTTGGGGAATTGGGAGTCTTTTAGGAAGAGCCTCTAAGCCAGAACATCTGTACCTCCTCCCCCCAGATAACCCCCAATTCCCCAATTCCTGCGCGCATCACCTTCACCTGTTTCCCCCTTCTAAATGCACAGTTCCTCCTCATGTCCTACCCCAACTTGCCACTTATCGAGCATTCCCACCTTCTCCCACTTATCACCTGAGCAGAGCGGGGATTGACTCGTCCCGCGATTCGCGAAGCGCCTCTGCTCCGCGCATTGAGCAGCAATGGCGGCGGCCGAGTGCGCGCCGCAGTTTCGCGAGTTCCAGTGGCTGCCGGAAACCGCCAAGGCGCTAATCGCCGCTTCGCTCTCTCCTAAGGATGCTGTCTCGCTCGCTCTCACCTGCAAGGTGCGCCTCTTTGCCGCTCTTGCCGCTTTCGCCGCTGTTACCGCTTCTTTTATCACGGAATTTCTTATTTTTCACCTTGCGCTGAGCGAATCTCTTTGAGCCTGTAAACGCTACAGTGGCGACTACCGTGACATCGCTAATACCGCCATCCCTTTCCCAAGCCACGCGCGATGCGGAACTCCTCTCAGCACCCTATTCTGTCCCTTCCTTGGTCTCCCCCCATCATTCTTTCCCCCTCGTCTCTCCGAGACTCCCCCATGCCCCGCAGGACCTCCGCTGCATAGCGCGCCCCTTCACGGCCCGCGAGTTTGCCTGCAAGGCATGCGGCGCGCGCCTCTTCTCCCCGCGCGCCCTCATTCCCTGCACCACCCGCCCCTCTCCGCCTCCCTCCGCGCCGCCTCTCTCCCCCGCGGGTTCCTCATTTCGCAACAGCAGCCGCGCATCCCCCAACGTCCTCCTGTTTCCGCCCGACGCCTCCACAGCGCCGCCAGCGGGCGCGCCGTCGGTGCCGCTGCTGCTGCTGCTGGACGACGGCGCGGCGGCGTGCGTGCAGGGTGGCGAGGTGGAGGAAGGGGGGGCGATACGCGCGCTGCACTCCAACGTGCCCTTCATCGCCGTGCCGCGCCTCTGTAAGGCATTGGTGTAGCGCTGATGAAGGCCACCGGCCGAAACGCGCGTACGCTCAGGTTTGAATGACAATTTTTTACCTATTCAATCCCTACTAGCCTAAGCTCAGCCTAGAGGAGATTAGGACGAGTTACCTGTTGGATCCAGGTCGAAACTGTTTTTCCGCGCCTCTGTAAGACCTTGGTGTAGCTGCATGCCGTCCCCCCCGCATTCGTCGCGATGCAGCAAACGTGCCATGCGCTAGACTACTTTCTTCCCTCTCCTCCCCGCCCCATTGCGTGTGCGCGCGCGGCAGCGTGGGGACGGGCGTGCGCGCATCTGATGGACGCGGCGACGCTGCACTGCGCGCGCTGCCTGCTCTTCCTCGGCATCCAGGTCCGCACCGTCTTCCCCCGCCTCGCCGCCTCCCCCTCCCCTCCCGCCTCCGCCTCCCCCTCCCCCGCCCCCGCATTCGCCGCGTCCCACACACCTCCTCCCGGCGCATCCTCCCCCACCGCCGCGTCTCCCGCTCCCCCCCCCAGCGCCCCACCATCTTCCCACACTGCTACTAGTGCCCCGCCCGCTCACGCTCATGCCGCGGCCACGGAAGGCGCGGCAGCAGCAGCGGGGGGCGCGGGGCAGCAGCTGGGGCTGTATGCAGCGGAGGCGAAGGCGTTCCTGGTGCGCAAGTACCTGGACCTGCTGCGCCCCGCCTCGTACCCGGGACTAGTGGGCGCATCACCACCACCACCACTGCCAACGCCAGCACCAGAACCTTCAGCAGCAGCGGCAGTAGCGGCGGGGTTGGCGGAGGTTGCAGCGGCAGGGGGTGGAGGGCAGGGGCGTGTGCAGGTGTATGCGGATGGGCTGTCGGGCGAGGGGGATGGCAGGCACGCTGTACTGTGCTCGGGGCGACGGGGGCATGTGGGTGGGGGCAGTGGCGCGCAGGGCAAGGCGCCGTGCCTGAACGTGCTCTTCCACTCGCACCAGGTACTGTTTGACATCACTCGAGAGGGCCGCACGGGTACCACAGGGCTGTGGGATGGTGGGTTGGGTGGTGGTGAGTGAGGGCAGGGTTCTGGGAACAGGCAGGTGTGTTGGAGTGGGGTGCTTGCACCGTTGCACGTATATAGCCGCCAGATGCGTCTCCACTCCTCGTCACAAGCATGCCAGCAACGCTGCATTGCTCTCCTCTCCCTCCGTCTTCCCTTCCTATCCCGCACTTTCCTTCTCCCTTCTCCCTCTTCCAAACCCGCCATTCCTCATCCCCTTCCACTCCCATTCCCATGACGCACGGGGCGAGGCGGGCAGGTGCTGAGTGCGAGGCACTGCTGGGATGCGGGCAGTGGCACGGAGGTGGCGGTGTACTGCAATGCACTGCACCCGGGCGCCTTCCTGCTTGCCCCACCGCGCACCGAGGAGCTCGCGCAGGGCGCCATGCAGGTCGCTGACGTGGCGTGCGCCAGGTGTCACGCGCCGATTGGGTGGAAGTTCTGCTCGCTTGCGGGACATGGCACGGATCTGAGGAACTTGAACCAGGTGAGGGGAGGGGGGAGGTGGGAGAGGGGGAAGGGGTAGGGGCGAGGGGAGAGGGGGAGGGGAGAGGGGGATAGGGGAGGGGAGAGGGGATACGGGGGAGAGTGGAAGGTGGAGGGGGGAGAAAGGGGTGGAGAGGGGAGATGGGCGAGGGGAGAAAGGGAGGAGAAAAAGGGTGAGAGCAGCTACCGAGTATGGACGTGTTCACTCTATTTGTTTGCCGTTGTTTCGAGAAAGGTGACAGCGCCAGTACTCTTGCTGCTTGCAGGTGGGCAGGTTCGGCATTGTGCTGTCTTCCATCCACCGAGGCAAGGAGTTCCTCCCAGCCTGGAGGGCTGCTTCGGTGTGGGAGGACTCTGAGGAGTATGAGGAGGAAGAGGAGGAAGAAGAGGATGATGAGGAAGATGAGGACGAGGAGGAAGAGGGGGAGGGGGAAGATCTGTCTCTGGTAGAGGATGGGGGAAGAGATGGAGTGATGGGGGATGGAGAGGAGGGAGGTAGCAGTGGCAGTAGCAGCAGTGGAACCAGTGGTGCCAGCAGTGGCAGCAGCAGCAACAGCAGCGGCGGCAGTCATAGCAGTGGCAGTGGCAGTGATGGAGCGGGCATGGGGAGGCAGAGGGGTGAGAGGAGTGGGAGGTGTGTGTGGAGTGTGCGGGCGCTGTCTCGCATCTGCCGCTACCACACGGCGGAGTAGCACCTGCTGCATGCGCCACTCACCCACACCAGCTGCAAGCAGCCTTGTGCATGACTGGGTGCCAATCCAAGCAGCTTCTTTGTCTGCAGTTTGTATATAAGTACATACGTCTCTCTGGTGAACTTGTCAGGGGTGTGGTTGTGTGTGTACCGTATGTGTGTCTGTGGTGTGGATGTCTCTTTCCCATGTGTAATTTGAGGTACCGGTACCGTCATCGCCCGGATATAAGACATATATGTCTTATCTCGTACACGGGCAAAAATGCTTATCTTGTAAACGGGATGGTTTAGGGTGTCTTATAAGTCTTATAAATGGAAAAAAAAAAGTTGACTGTAACACTTGCAAAGTGTGTAGAAAACACCCAGAGACCAGATTCATTGAAACAGGCCGACCTCGGTGGTGATGCATGCAGCGCCCACACTTGCCACGTGAGGGAGCTGCCACCGCTGGCAATATTCCTCTGTGCTGGCAGCATCTAATGATGCTGCCAGCGTCGTTTTGCTGCCAGCAGCGCAGGGATGCTTCCAGAACGCTGCTGGCAGCACGTTGGCAGCGTGAGGGCTGTCCTCTACGAGGAGATGCCTCGTAGAGGAGCGGCTCGGCACCTGTGGATGGGGCACTCTGGCTGGGGGGGGTAGTCGGCCTCTCACTTCATTTGGTGCTCAAGGGTTTAGAAATACTCGTCTCAACCTTGCTCTCGGAAGGCTTTCTAACCATGCGCAGCAAAGTACCCCCAGGCTCGTCCTCTCCTCGTCCTCACGTGCAGGTGAATAACTACGGGCGAATTAACTCGCCCGGCGATGACATCCGTGTAGCCATGGCGAAGAACGCGAGCAAGGCGGGAAGTCCTACCGCGGCCTCCGGTGCGAGCTGTGACGGGGACGACGGAGAAGAAGCGAACGGCGACGACGCCGAGGAGGATTGGCCGGAGAACGGCCACGACGACAGCGCTTCGGGCGACGAATTAGGTCCTGCCGACATCGAGGAGGACGAATGGTGGAATCGGCCGGTCGGGAGCGACGACGAGGTGGAAGAGTGGCGGGCTGGAGATTCGGACAACGACGGAGGTGAAATGCGAATGGTGACAACGCGGAGGCAGCGGCGGATGCACAGGAAGCGGCGATGGTTGCGGATGAGGAGGCTGAAGACGGCGCGGCCGCAGTTGCGGATGCGGATGCTGTGGCAGAGTCGGACACGGTTGCTGCGGATGCCGTCTTATTTGACGGTGAAAGCGGCGACGACGACCCATGGAGCCTTGGGACAGACGACGACGTTCCGCTACTGAAGCGGAGGCTGCGCCATCGCCTACAGTCCAAGTCGAAGCGGGCCCGCGTGGTGCTCTCTGACGACGACAGTCCGGGGGAGGAGCGTCGCCCGAAACTCACCGCTGCGGAGAAGGGAAAAGCCAAGGTCGCGGAAGCCCCTGCTAAGGCCCCTGCTAAGGCCCCTGCTCGTCGCTGCACAAGCAACAAGAAGCGGACATCCGACGGAGACCCGGGATCTAGCAAGGGTGCGGCTAAGAAGAAGGCGAAGAAGGCGCCGAATCCTGACGACATCGTCGTGAACGAGACTCTGGGCAGCGACGATGACTACGCGGCGGCGGCGGGCCCGATTCCCACGTTCCCTGAGAAGGTCACGCCGAAGGACCCCACCCTCCATAATCCCAACACCCGCCCACCTTCCCCTCGCAGCAAGGACACTACGAGGAAGTGCCGCAGTTGGACCGTGCGTGAGAAGCTTAAGTGGGCGCGCCGCTATCTGGAGCTCGGCTCCTTGAAGAAGACGAGCGTGGAGTCAACCGCGTCCATCGCCTGCATCAGACGCTGGAGTGCGGAGGCGGCTGCGGGCGTCTACAAGGGCGCGGCTAACTGCCGCAAGCGGATGCACGGGGGGGGGCGCCACTCACACTACCCCGACATGGAGGCAGCGTTGTACCGCTACATCTGCCTTCAGCGCGCTAATGGGGTGGCCATCTCGGTGAAGGACACCCAGAAGTGGAGCCGCGAGTGGATGAAGAAGCATCACGCCGGCAAGAACTGGAACGCGAGCTCTCACTGGAGCCAGCGTTTCCGTGACCGCTGGAACCTGGTGATGCGGGTGAAGACCAAGGTCGGCCAACGACTGTCGGCAGGTGCGTGTTGAAGGAATTCGTGTCGCGCGCGGGCTATTGAATGCATGTCCCTCACCCAGTGTCTAACCATCCCGTGTTTCCGTTGCGCGTGTACCGTTTGCAGAGTGCGCGAAGGCTTGCGAGTCCTTCTGGAAGTTCGTGCGCATCAACAGGGCGCGGCACAACATCGACCTGGCCCGCATCATCAACGCGGACCAGACTCCACTATTCGTGGAGATGCCAGCCGAACGGACGATCGAGCACCGCGGCGCGCGCTCGGTCCCAATCCGCACTGCAGGCTACCAGAAAACGCGCTTGACGGTGATGCTCGCGTGCACTGCATCCGGGGAGAAGCTGCGGCCGTGGGTGTGGTTCAAGATGAAGAACGTCCCTAACTGTGAGATTCCGGAAGGTAAGCGTAATGAATTCAACCGTGCGACTGCCTGATGAGCGTGCCCCACTGTGCTGAAGCCCGTCTGTCCCTTGTGTGCCTGGCAGGAATCGTGGTCCAAGCACAGGACAACGGGTGGATGGACGAGAGCGCTGTGCAGACCTGGCTGTCCAAGGAGGTGCTGCCCCATCTGAACCCCCAGCGCGGCCAGATCGCGAGGCGTGCGATGCTGGTGTTGGACTCCTACCGCGGTCACATCACCCAGACCATGCTTCAGTCGTACCGCACGAACAGCATCACCCCTGCAGTCATCCCAGCGGGTTGTACGAGCCAGATTCAACCCCTGGACGTCTCAATCAACCGGTGCTTCAAGGCTGCTGTGCGAGCGCGCTACGCCAGGTGGTTCATGCGTGAGGGGATTCACCTGAAGACGAAGAAGGGTGAGTTGGTTCTTCATTTATGGTATTATTCCTATTCTATTTCCTGTCCTTGTCTTAAACATGCTCCTTCATGTCCGTGTCTCTAACATCTCGCTGCCCCGTCCTCAAACCCACCCGCAGGGAACCTGCGGAGGCCGCCCCACCCCGTGGTGCTGCAGTGGATCGCGGAGGCTTGGGATCAAGTCCCCAAGCAGATCATCATCGACGCGTTCCGCCACTGTGGGATCTCAAGCAAGCTGGACGGAACGGAGAACCACCTGGTGATGTCTCACCTGCGCGCCAGGAGCACCACTGATGTCTCCGCGGACATGTCCCTCGGGGGGACCACATGCGACAACACGCGCCTGCTCGGTCGGGCTCCAGAGGAGGAGGAGGAGGAGGAGGCGATGCAGGCGGAGGGCGTGCGGGAGGTGGCAGTGGCAACCGGCCTGGAGGTGCTGTACCAGGAGACCCCCAACTACTGCGGGGCGGCGGCCGAGGCTGACCGCATGATCGAGCCTAGGGAGACGGCTAGGCATGCCTGGCGAGTGCCAGACCTGGGTGTAGAGCCTGTTGTTAGCGCAGTGTACACTAGCTGCCTACTCTCAAGACTCAAACTCTCCTGTTATACCATACCTTTCCCACCTACTGTAGTCACTGCCGCAGCTCACAGCCAGCCCAATCCCTTGCCTGGGTGTCTCATCCCCTTGCATCTTTCCCACTCCCACATAATACATCCAAAGGCTGCCGTCCGGGCGAGCAACCACGTAAGGTGCCCCCACAAGGATATTATCCCATGCCTCCTCCCCTCTCCTGGCCTTCAACACCGGTCCGCCTGGCTCAGGCCCTGCACCGATGGCCTTGTGCCACGTCAGCCCGTCGTCGTCCGACGTGGCAAGGCCAATGGCAAATTCGTTGCTGGTGTTGCAGCCTTCGTATAGCATGATGAGGCGAGTGCATGCCGCATGTATTTCAACTTTTCCTGACGCATCCGCAGCTGAACCAATAGTACCAGCAGCAGCAGCTTCAGCGGCATCAGCAGCAAGGCCATCTATGCTCCGCCCTGCTTTGCCAGCTGGCACCGACACAACACTGCGCACAGACACTCCCTGCTCATCCCACGACCCTGGTCCCCCTCCTGATAACACCTTCCCCAAACGCTGCCAGGTCTCGCCACCATCGCGGGACACAGCTGCACCAGCAGCGTAGCTGGCCTTGCCCTGCTCATCCTGCCCGCGTGTGTGGTAGGTCATGAGCCACGTGTCACCTGTAACAGACGGGTCTGCAGTAACAAGGTTACCACTGCGGCCCGGGCAGGTCAACAGCTTTTAGACTGCCCCCAGAGTACAGCATGCACCATTCCTGCTGCCCGCTGCTGTTGCTGTTGCTGGTGGTGGTGCTGTCGCCACCTGCTGCAGCACTGCTGGTGCCTGTGCTACCAGCATCACTAGCACATGATGCTGGGTCGTCAATGGCACATGCTGAGTCATCATCACCAAAATCTGAGTCATCACCACTGACGTGTTCTGGATTCCAGGCACGCAAAACGTCACCAACAGCCACGTGGACACTGTCAAAAGCCTCGTCAGACTCAGCAGGATCCAGCACAGCACCGCCAGGTAACGGCCCTCTCACGCGCTGCCACGTCACCCCCGTCCCTACTGACAGCAAGCCCCACCCGACCAATCGGCACAGGCAGCGCTTTGACCCCTTTCGCCCAGTAATCGCCATCCCTGCCATAGTAGTACATGCGCCATAGACCAGGATCCCCCACCGCGCTCCCATCAACCTGCACCCCAGGATCCGGCGAGTCAGGGAGAGAGCCAGGCTCCCCTTGAGAAGCTGACTCACGGTGTAGAGCCTGTACTGGTGCGACGACCACGGGGCCCGAGAAGCACCGGGAATCCCACAAGTGCACATCAGCAGGGGGCGGTTCGAGCACACGGCCGAGCAGAGGCCGTTGATTGCTCTCATCAGCGCTCGCGGTCTCCGTGGCTGCTGATCGCGCTGCTTCAGAGGCGCCTGAAGCGTTGACGCTGGCTCCACTGGCGCGTGCCATGAAGGAAGGGAGTACGGCCGATAGATTTGACTGAGACAGTGTTGTTGTATCGAGTCCGCTTGTAGCGCGGGTCCCGGGGGGAATAGGGCGGCGTAGAGGAGCGAGAGGGCGAGTTTCGCGCAGCGAGCACGCGCAGGCTGCCGCCGTGCTCCGGGTGTGGCAGCAGTGACTGCAGACAGCACTTGTAGAAGCGGCTTTGCCACAACGGTAAATCGGACGGAAAGCTAGACTAGCTACAGAAGGTCTTGAGCGAGCGACAGATGGAAAAACAACGACGGAATTCCACGTCCAGCTGAGTTGCGCGCCTACCAGGCCTGCCATCTTTCGTGGTAATAAGCGTGCTCGGCGCACAGGAGGAGCGCCATATGTAGTGTGCGGGACTCGTAGGAAGCATGAACGATGCTAAGTAAACTACACCCACCCCATTGGACGTCTCTTCTCCCCCCCTTTCCCGTGTTGACAGGAGTCATGGCATGGAGCGGTGCAGCACAATGACTGCGACACTGCGACTCTATCTTGGATGGCTCATTTGCGACTGCTGTCTCTGTCTCGATTTGTGGGCTGATTGACATTCCAAGAAGGCGCATTTCCGTCACAGAAGAATTCGTTTCACGACCCATTAATTATACATCCCAAATATTTACGTTATTGTGAATGTCCACGTCAATATTTGGCTTGTTGAGCTTTTCTTGTTTACAGAATAAGGATTTGGAGTGCATGCTATGGACATTTAAAAAAATGGAAATACATATTATCTTAATAGCGGATTTTTTGTGACGATTATTGTCTGATTCTGAGATTTTGATATGGAAATTAACCTGGAAACCCTTTTATTCAAGGGATAATGCATGCTTCAGGAAGTTGTGAAGTACTGTGACTAGTGAATGATTGTGGATAAGGCGGGGACTAGTGTATATAAAGGATGTGGTGGCCTCAAAAGAGGAACCTTAAAGGAGAAAGGCGTGGATGCTCAGATATCCACGTGGCTGCTAGAGCAGCACAAGGACATTCCGATCTCAAAAGTAGCATTAAGACGTGTCAAATGCGTGTTCGCCAGTCTGGGCTACACACTCCAGATACGTCGGTATCCAAATTTGACCACTTAACTTTTGCTACGTGGATTTACGACCTCAATGTCACTTTCCCTGGAAACTGGTCCGGCCCGTATTTGCGCTAGCAGAAGAGGGTCCATATTTCCTCCCCCCCCCCCCCACCCCCTCGGATTTTCCCGCCAGGCCCACGTCACTGCACCAACGGAAATGAACCTCCTCGAAGGTGGCATCTCGTGGCGCGGCAAACTCCAGCTTGTCCCCAAATTTCTGACCATCAAGAATCAAACCCAACCCGAACAAGAATGCGCCCCAGGCGTGTCTGGTGTACGATGAGCAATCACTGGTCAGCAGGATCTGAGACATCTGAAAGTACGATGAACCGACATCTGACCCGAAGAAGTACGACACAGTCATGTCCTCAAACCTGTAATTCGGGAATTTGAACACCCCCTTGAAAATTGCAGACTCTCCTTCCATTTGCACTACAAAGCTGCTGCGCCATCTCAGAGCAAAAAACACGAATACCATTCCCATCACCCCACCCCACCCCCACCCATCAACCAACCTGCGCATTCCCCCCACCCTCAGCTCTGTCTTCCAACCACCTTCAGCAGCCATGGCCGCGGTCGCAGTCACCCTTCCCACGGTCGCGTCCTTCGCTACAGCTTCCGCTGGGAAGAAGGCGGTCCCTTGCAAGGCCGCTCATGTGGCCGCTCTGCCCGTCTTCCGCTCTACAAGGAGCACTGCACAAAGGCGTGGCGCCGCTCTTAGAGTGACGTGCAGCAGCACCAAGCCGGAGGCGGAGGTGGCTGAGAGGGTGGAGAATGCGGGCGAGCAGGAGGCGTTCCTGGCGTCAGGCTTCTTGGAAAAGGCGACGCTCATGTCGGCTGCTGCCATGACGCCGCTCCTGCTCAACGTGCAGGTGAATAGCAAAGGCTGCCTTGTCGAACTTGCTCGCGTTACTTTTTCAGCGTAACAGTCAGCTGGTTTGTTCGTTTGTTTTACATCCGAGTTCATTTTAAGTAGAATGAAGAGAATAAAAATGAATGGGTGTACAGTAGTGGGTGGGTCCGTGTGGAGCACCTCGTGAAGGTAATGCCCCAATGTAATGGTCAGGGCTCGTCGACTGTGAGACAGACTGAGCTTGCGGCACTCCGCACGCACTTGTGCTTCTCGATGTACCTCTATCCGACCCACAGCCTTCGGGGCGAGTCACTAGCTCCACCGCTGTTCTATTTCTCCTCGCCGCGCCCTCCTCACGGCCCTCGCTCTCCTATCCCGCTTTTCGGAAGGTTCTCACCTGTTCTTTCTTTCCGATTCCGTACGAGATCCCTCCTTTATAAAACCGACTCCATACCGCGCACATTGCCTCCTCCCCCACCCGCGAGAGCAGGACGCGATGGCCGCCGGCGGCGAGTTCGGCCTGCTGGAGGGCCGGACGGCGGCGCTGGTGCACCCGTTCGTGATGGGCGGGCTGTTCTTCACGACGCTGTACGCCTTCTACCTGGGCCGCCAGTGGAAGCAGGTCCGCGTCGTCGGCGAGAAGATCCAGGACCTCAAGAAGCAGCTCCCCGCTGGCGAGGACGCTGCAGCGGCGTCGCCGGTGTCCGGCGAGATCGCCACGCTCACCGCGGTGAGTGGACTCTCGCGCCCGTGTCGCGTCACGTCACGTGGCGTCGCTGGTTTGGCCCCCGCGTCGGTCGTTGATGCACCAGTCACGGGGTGGCTTGGTTACCGCGAAAGCTGGCACCTTGCGTTTGCACGCATTTTGTAACGAGTGCACCGATCGACGTGCTCTCAAGCTCGTCATTGCTTTCGTGCGCGCGCACTTCAGGGACTACACGCATTCCTGACATTGCAAGACTCGCTTACTCGCATCTGCCACTCGCACAAGCCGCATTCCTTAGCATTGGCACAGCTTGAGCATTCACGCATTTGTCCATCGAGGCTCAACCCACAACCACCTATCCCGTCGCTTTGCCTCCTCCTCACCTCGCTCCTTACATTTCTTCCCCCCCGTTCCCCATCCCCGCTGGTTCCATGGCGTGGCAGCAACGCGCGGAGCTGGTGAAGGGCAACTACCGCGAGAAGCACTTCAACGTGGGGTCGTTGCTGCTGGGCTTCGGCGTGCTCATCGCCGTGGAGGGCTGCGTCAACACCTGGTTCCGCACCGGCAAGCTCTTCCCCGGCCCCCACCTCTGGGCCGGCGCCAGTAAGCCACGCTGCTTGCCCCTTGCCCCGCCACCTCTTGCGCCATGCTTTCTTCTCGCATCCTGCCCTCATGTCTCGCAGACATTCTCGTCCTTCATGGTCGCAGAACGTTCTCCAGCTGCTTCTCAACCCCTCCCTCTTCCCAGCTCACAGTAGCACAATTCCCTAACCCTTCAGTTGCCCCATCGCCCTGTTTAAACTTCTCCATCTCGTCCCCTTTTTTCCGCCTCACTCTCCGCCAGCCATCACGGTGCTGTGGGCACTGGCTGCGTCGCTGGTGCCGGCGATGCAGAAGGGCAACCCAGTGGCGCGCAAGGCGCACGTGGCGCTCAACATGCTCAACCTCGCGCTCTTCGTGTGGCAGATCCCCACTGGCCTTGAGATTGTCGGCAAGGTCTTCGAGTTCACCTCGTGGCCTTGAAACGCTGGCAGACGATTTCAACACCCCATAGATGGTTTTCTATATGAAAGAAACTAGTAATGTTCTAATTTTGAAGACAAAAAAGAGTGGATCCAGAGATTAAGATTCAGTTCCCTAGCAGGACTAACATTGTGGTGATAGACTACCATGGCAGTCACTGCTACTACGGTAATGGAAACTGAAGTTGGTATTGCAGAAGAAAACACATTGATAGCAGCGAAATGAATGTACGTCTACAGCTCCATTTCAACCCCGTCCCTAAAACTTCTTACCGTACATGAGGGCTCTCATCAACAAGAGCTAACAGCTCTAATGAGAAGCACAGTTCCCTGCCTCTCCCTAGTCTGTCTGATACAGCATGCCTATCTTCCCAGGGCATGCTGGAAGTGACCAAACGGCTGCTCCTTCACCTGAGGAGCAATCACACTCTGGTCATAGCCTGATGGGAACTTCTCCTTGCTGTATGTCCCCACCAGGTGGGCCTCCCCCAGCACGTGCCCCTCCATTGCCTCCTGCAGCTTCTCCTTGGTGATCTGCCATCAAGCGCGCCATGCAAGAGGTAAAGGCGAGTTGCCAGGTGACGAGCTTCCAGTTGCACACATCTAACGAAATTTGCAATTGTACCCTAAAAACTGCCAGCCAGATTGGAGGGGCAAACACACATTCCCTAGGTGTGGCAGGTTGCCTGTGGCATTCACAGCCAATCACCCACCTTGCCCATGTAGATACGGCAGTCCAGCGCGTACACAGCGATGTCGTAGCGGTGCGTGCCAGTGGGCGGGTTGGGCCCGCGGTAGTGCGGCAGCTTGAAGTCGTTCACGCCTTCCTGTACGCCCTCGTATTTTGGGTCATTGGCATGGTCCTTGGTTGAAAACCCCGCCGGCAGCCCTGCAAGGTCATCGGGATGAGCATCATGGATGAAAGGCTGCTGACAGGTTGGGAAGCCAGGACGGAAATCAGCAAGGAAGAACTAGAGAAGGAATTTTTTGTTGAAATCTAGGAATTCAGAGCGTGGGGAGTCGTGGCACTGAAGCAAAAGAAACAAAGCTGGGTGCGGGAGGTGAAGGGTGGGATGGGTAGTGTACAACTTGCCTTTGAGGCTGGGAGGAATGTTCGCCACCACCCTGTGCACCACCCACCAAATGAGTACAGGAAAAACGCACAGATCACGTCAATAAAACAGGAGATCAATAACTCTACGAAATTGAGGCACTCCAGAAGCTTATTCGCTACAGAACGATGTCAAGAGTTCAGAGTCGTGATCCGTTCTGCAAACCACTGACCAGTGCGTGAAGGGAACGATGGGCGCCTCCGGGTCCGGCGCGTCGATGTCCTCCATCACAATGGCGAGCGTCTCCGTGCCCTCGGGCACGTCGTGCCACTCAAGGGCGGGCGACAGATCGTGGTGCTGCACGGACCCGTCGCCCGTGCACTGCCTTGGGAAATGCCCGTCCTTGCCCAGGCTCGTGGACGTGATGTAGAAGCTCTCCTCCTGATCAGCGACGCCGTACGCCTCCTGCGCCTTTCGGAACTTCTCCGCCGTGTCTCTCTGCTTGTGGGTCGTCTTCATCTTCATAGTCGACATGATGGCGGCAGTGGGATTTGTGAGGTGTGTTTGCACTGGCGGACGCAGGGACCTTCTGAGAGCAGAGGCACGATTAGGCGATAATTCTACGAATCCAGAAAGGAGAGGCACACGACCAAAAAGAAATGTAGTGGCTGAAGCATACGAGGGATGATGATAGCCGCAGACTTGCAACGGAGCACGCTGAGAGGTCGGACAAGTGGTAAGTCGTAGCAAACGGGATGTGGGAAGGGGAAATGGTGTCCATGCGACTTGCGAGAAATCGAGGCTGTGCGGTCCGACTGATGGAGAGGAAATTCCTTGTCCGCATGATAGGGGTGTGAGCTTGTAGTCATGCCACGTGGTGGTGGCAACTCGGGGATGGCGAACACTTCATTAGCGAAGACGGAATTTATATGCAATCACGAGAAAAGTACGGTGTATCGCAGAGTATTGTTACAATATATCACGCATGTCTCATTATTCACAACATTACCATCAAATATATCAACTGTGTACATTCAACATAATAAATCATAAATTTCAACAAAAGGTGTGCATGCTCTATTATTATGTTTTCTGCACTCATTGGTGTCAGCTCAGTATATCTGAATATCAAATGATTATAGAAGTGGACATAGTAATAAATATGTGTCCCTATAATCTCGCGTCGGCTACCAGCGCACGAAAAGTTTTTGGAGGCAATCTCAAATATCGTTGCTTCCAGACTATTCCAGACTTTTCGAGACCTTCCCAGCGAGTGCTTCAGCTGCTCGCGTGCTCTTCAAGGCCACGCTTCGCCTCCTCCTGGTGCCATCCAGATCCTTCGAAGGGGAAACTGAAAGTTCAGTGAATTCCAGAACGGCGCATCCGCTTTTTATTGCACAGGTATATAAACGACGAACTGGAGTCATTGTCTTATCAAGCTTTCAACCAACAGAAATTAATAACGCTCTTCGCCTTCTAGCGTTCACAATCTTTCAGAGTCCTGTGCTCCAACCTCTTCATTCAAAGGTACTTCTCCGCAATCAAGCGAGCGCCATGTGTCTCTTCTTCATCGAGGTCGGCAGTCCCGACAACCCCTGCGGCGTGAAGGTCGTCGGGCCCACTCTCGGGCTTGTCGCCATGGCAGTCGCCGCTGTGGTCGCGTGGCCCGTTGGAGCGATCGCGTGGCTATGCGACGAGAAGGCTGGACGTCAAATAATGGCTCTGCCCGTGTACACAGTCTACCCTGCGGTCAGCAGCGCCATTCCGTTCTGAGTTGTTCGGAGTGGCGAGAAATGTCACGCAGCTGACGTTTATGGATCCCTGGTACTAGTTAAAAGGGGTGACCCTCCTTCAGATAACTTATTAGGAGCTAAAACCATCCGTACAATCGTGTGTACATTCATTGTATATATTGTGTTGCGCTGCGCTGGCTTGTCGGTTCGGTGGTGGATCTGTCATTGTAAACTCGATATCCGCAGCTGTGTCCTCCAGTATCAACATGATTGTACCATAGAAGCCCTTCAATAGCAATCCAACGCTTGTGATACAAAACGTGGAACCTATGCTTTTGAAACTCAAATCAATCATCCTGTCACCAGCTGCCACGTGGAACCACCGTTTGCTGCATGAACGGGAGTAAATGAGAAGAGAATGGATTGTTCTTAGTGAGACGCTGTCTGATTGACACGGGAGAAAAAGCACCCGTTTCCCTTTGTTTCCTCGAGTTGGTCGCACAGCACACGCATGTCATGCGACTTTACTAGAACCAGACTGCATTGCAACTCTAGGAGACACGCTGGAAGAGATGGCGAGCGGCAGCGGCGCGATGCTGCATGCTGGTCCAGGGCGATGTGCCAGCCTAGTAGCGACGTGGAATGACGTTCCACGTGGTCACACCCACCCCGTGCCGCCAAACATCAACCATGATCATGCCAGGCTCGTTCCCTCTGCCGCTTCTCCCGCTGAGGGGCGTTCCTGTGAGGAGGCAGATGCGCGGTTCTGCTCTCTCCCCGCCTCAGCCAGCCCGTAGACGACTCGCCCATCCACCTCATCAGCCAGCTCGCAGATGCGTGTCTTACCGCGCCTGGGGCGTCAAGTAATCCGACTGCTGGTCGCGCGCATCTTGCTCCTCCCCGCCATTTTCCCTCCCTCCTGTTTCGACGACCTTCAGGTCTGGGCACGCTCGTATTCGATTCTTCGGCTTTCCGTCCCCTATCCCCTGCGGTTGCTTTTGAGCGTAGACGTGCAGTGGGGCTATTGGCCGGTCATCCAAATCTAGGAACCCTCTGATCGAATATCCTGAGTTGGCAGCTGATCAAGAAAAGACATGGCGACGGCTTCGGGAATCAGCGAGCGCGGCATGGCACCGGCGATGCGAAGCGGCGCGGACGGCGTGTACCACTTCGTGATCCCCGTGCGGCCGCTGGCGGGGCAGATCTCCATGGAGCACCTCGAGCGCCTCTCCGTGTACAACTCGCTCTACGGCGCGCGTGAGTGCTGTGCTCATTCATACATGCATGGCGCACAGTGGCTGCGCCCCTTTGTTTCGTTTTTTTTCGTTTCTGTGAACAAGTGATTGAAGCTATGGCTGCTTGTAATAGTCGTGTCAGATGAGAAAGTTAGAACGCGTATGCTGGGGAATTTGTAATGCGCACGCCTTTATTTCTTGTGGCTGATGGACCGGGAGAAGTGGTGAGCATGGGGAACTGAGCACTGGGGGTGTTGCTTTGGCTGCCTCCCTGCAGAGCTGTCATGGCTGCTTGCATGCAAGTGCTTTTTAGATTGCCTGTCCAGTCTGTGCCCTTTCCCTTCCTGTGAACCTCCCTCCTTTCCTAACCCCTTTCCTTTTTTCTTGCAGTGTTCGTTGCAGCAGGGCTTGTGGCCATCCTCTTGCCACTCATTTTCCCACTCGCCTTGGGTGTCGCCATCAAGACTCTTGGTACTGCACCCATCATGTCTTCCTCCACGTGCCACCTTCCTGTATTGGCTCTCACTTCCGTGTCCATACTTGGCGTCCCTCCTTTACCTTTTGTCACATGCTTTTGCCTTTCCAATCCAGTCTCTTTTTCATGCCCGGTTTGTGCTGTCCAACATTTCTTTTCTCACTCTCCCCACCCACCAAGCCCTTATCTTCCCCTGCCTCTCCATGCTCCCTTTTCTCCCCTGTGCGTGCAGGGTGGGTGCTGCTGGTGGGCGGAGTGGTGACTTTCCTGCACTTCCTCTTCCTCTGTGGTGCACCTGGCACCGTCGCACTGCTCTTCCTCGGCCTCATTCACTTCGCCATTGGATTCTCCCTCGTCACCGGCACGGGCCTTGTACAAGGCCCAAACGCTCTCCAGTTTATCCTCGCCGGCTGGTTCTTAGCTCAGGTAACCTGCTTGTGCCAACGTATCAGTGCAGGGCCCCTCCTCTCCTCCTTTCTGTTCCTTGGTCTGCTTTTGAGTCGACTCAAAAGCCCCTCCTCTCCTCCTTTCTGTTCCCTGGTCTGCTTTTGAGTCGACTCAAAAGCCCCTCCTCTCCTCCTTTCTGTTCCTTGGTCTGCTTTTGAGTCGACTCAAAAGCCCCTCCTCTCCTCCTTTCTGTTCCTTGGTCTGCTTTTGAGTCGACTCAAAAGCCCCTCCTCTCCTCCTTTCTGTTCCTTGGTCTGCTTCTGAGTCGACTCAAAAGCCCCTCCTCTCCTCCTTTCTGTTCCTTGGTCCAGTTCATGTTAACAGAACAGATGTTCTAAGGCCTTGGCCCCAGGAAACCCAGTTTCAGGCCCCTCTTCGCTTTCCTCTCTACCCTCAACCCACCTTTCCCCCAGGGCGTGTTCAAGAGCGCACTGGGTGTGTCGCTGCGCAGCATCTCCTCGTGGCCCATGGTGCTGCTCTCCGGCATGATCGCCATTGCTCTCGGCTTTGTGGTGTTCGCACAGCCACCGCAGCCAGAGGAGCCAAACAAGGACTTTGTGCGCCTGGCAGGGCTGCTCGTGGGCGTGGACCTCTTCATCACCGGCGTCAGCATGCTTGTCATCGCCCTCCTTTCTTCATGGGGTGAGTAACCTCACATGGCCTGGTACCGGGGGAGTCGCGCATGTCTATTTCACTGTCAGTTTGTTTGCCTACTGTGACTGCACCGTTCGTGTCGCGACTCTGGTGCTGTACTTGTCCCTTTGCCCACCCTGTTGTCTCCCTTATCATTGCTGTCCACCTTTTTATTTCTCTCAGCTGTTCAAATGGTGGACGAGACAGAAGAACCACTGCTTGTTGGCCCTGTCTCTCCTTCGGGAGGTTCTTCTGTCTAAGCTCTACATTAGGCAACCAAGGCTCTACATTTGGCAACCAAGTGCTCCGCTGGAGCAGACTAGCTGTGTTCCCTGTTGGGAACTTGGGAGGTTGTCAACTTTGTGCATTGTCTTGGATTGGAGTAGTAGTTGAGGGAATTGCCCTCTGCTGCCATGCAGGGAAATTGTGTTTTCCAGCTGGTTTCCTGCTCATGTGCTGCTTGTGAACGTGTGTATAGTGTCATTTTCCTTCCAGCATTGCTCTATTTCTAAATACCAGAACGTCTTCAACTCTAGCAGTTTATCCCATCCTCAGATTACATCCCACCCAGCATAGAATTTCCTTCACTCATTCAGTCACATAGGCGCTCCTTCACGATGTGTCAACTACCATATTCTGATGCATCCCACCTTTTCATGCTAACTGAATATATGGGAAATTTTATGAGAATTATGACAAATATTCTTAGCGAGCAAAACTCTTCGTGACAACTGTGTGGAACTGTAAGGAATTTTCTCGATATTCCTTAACGCGCCCTGCAACATCGCGTACAGCAGCAGCCGTTGTTCGCCCGTTACTACTAACGGGGCTTCGCCGACTTCGCGCGCACTGTTTCACCAAACCTCACACTGCTGGCCTGGCCGTGTCGGCCTACGCTTCGGGACTAGCCTGAGCCTCGCTTCCAGCATTGCACTAGCTAGCTCGCACGCACCGCGTTACCGTTTGCACATTTCGCGTATAAATGTTCGCTCATGCCTTCTCTCACATTTTGTACTCGTTTGACACCTTAGTGCAATTCTCGCTACTTAGTTCGTGTCCGTAGGGTTGACATGTCAAGTGAGAGCGTGTCAACCCGAAGCGCATTCAAATTAGAGTGTCAAGCACTGTAGTGGAAGTGTCAAGTCGAAGCGCAGGTACGAACATCAGCGACGCAATTTCATTGGTTTGAGAATTTGTCATGGCTAGATCTGCTAGGCAACGAACAATTCAAAAGACATATTGTGTGCTGATTGGGCAGCATCTGGTCGTGAGATAGGTACCTGCGACAATTTTCTCTCGTTTGTAGGTTTGTCTGTGCCAATTTCAAAAGTGTTCTACGATTTTTATTGGCTGGCAACCTGCAATTTCTTGACACTCTGCCAACAATGTTGGCAGAGTGTCAAAATGCCAAGTTGACACTGCCCACTTTGACATGTCATCCCTACGGACACGACCTTAGATTCATTGCACCCGTAACAGGAACCAAAGCATTGCAGAGAAATGACAATTGCTGGTACCTAGGGACAGGTTCGGGCTGCAGGTCTGCTCGGTTCGGGATCATCGTTCAAAGCAAACCGGACTTCCCAGCCAGCCCTCAGACTAGCGACGCTGAAGCTTTCCAGATGTATTGCCCAATCAGCGGGGTGCCTTACCTCTCTCTGGCTCGGTATTCCCCCCTAAAGACACTCCATCGCCTCGTATCTTTCATGAAAGCAAACCCTAGTTTCCTTCCGCTTCCCCATACCATTGCAGCCACTGCTCACTTATCTCTTCCCTTGCATGAGTTGCATGGCTGCAGCTCATGACGCTCCTTGATGTCGCTGCAGAGAAGCCGACTCTGCAGAGTCTTGCATTTTTTGCGGTGCGAGTAATGTGATTCACATCGGGAAAGATTTTGCAGGAGTTGTTCCTGCTGTCGCAAACAGAGTGCATTGTTCAGGTATTTTATTCCGTCTCGTTGCCTCGTGCAGTTGGCTCGGAGATTCCGGGGTCATGTATTCGTCATTGGTACTTTTCTTCCTGTTTCACCTGGCGGGTTTCAAGCTACCAAAACACGTGGACGATCGCGACGCGGAGTGGCCGATCGCGGCGCGGGGAGCGGAGGAGGAGCACAGCGGGGGAGGCCATTCGGACGATGAAAGGTCGATCGCGGGCGACTCGTGGTCCGTTAAGAGCGAGTATGGCAGCACGCTGGACGGCGACGAGGCGCGCACGGCGGAGATGATGTGCGGGACGACGATTGCGGAGGACTCGCAGGCCAGCGGGAGGTAAGACACGAGTGCTTGCGCGATGCTGTTGCGGTCATGCCGCCAATAAGAAGGAATCGATCATTGGTGCTGATCCGCATCCTTAGTCCGGCAACTGAGCAGGCTTGGATCGGTCGACTCTTTACGATTTTGCTTTTTTCTTATGCTCGATAATTGCCGGCCGTCGCGAAATGGATTATGCAGTGCGAACACTCGGTCGACGATGAATGCGCGAGGTGCGAGCGATTTCCTTAGCCACATGACACGTAATTCATGCGTGACGACATTAACATTCCTGAATATGCCTCCATACCCCCATACCTGCTTTTATCCTGCCACGCGCCCGCAGTGCACCGGAGGAGAGGGAGCATCAGGAGCTGAACGGGCTGCGAGAGCACGAGGGAGGCGCGGACGGGCATGCAAGCCATGTCCATGTCTCCGACCATTACCATCACGCGGACGCAAGGTCGCAGCAGCAGCAGCAGCAGCAGCAGCAGCGCGTGGCTTACCAGCAGTCGCCGCTTCTCCGCGCCCGCGTTCCGCAGTGGCTGGCCGCGCAGCAGCGGCAGCAGCGGTGGCAGCAAGACGCGATGCTTGCGCTTCAACAGCAGCAGCAGCAACAGCAGCTGCAACAGCAACAACAACAACAACAGCAGCAGCAGCAGCAGCAACCGCAGCAACAACAATCACAACCGCAACCGCAGTCACAGCAGCAGCAGCAGCGACAGCAGGCTCTGTCTTTTCAAATATGTCACCAGCACGGGGTTCAGAGCGCGTATACCCACCAGAGCAACTTGCAGGGGGAGCTGGGGGGGCTGAGCGGGCTGCTAGCGGGCAGCGCGCCTAGCGAGGGGAGCCTGGATGACCGAATATCGGATCTCGATTGTTCCGCTGGGGGCGATGGGGATGATGACGGGGATGACGATGACGATGATGAGGATGAGAATGGGGATCGGGATCGGGATGGGAATGTTGATGGGGATGGGGCGGAGGGCATGCGGAATGAAGCAGGGGGCGATGGGTTAGGGTACGACGCAGGGGCGCCGAGCGGGGCAGCGGACGCGCCGGGGAGTGGAGCGGCGGAGGGGACTGGGGGAGGATTGCGGGGGAGAGGAGGGGGGGGTGATGGTCAGGAGGACGGCGGAATCGGCGAGGCCGGGGAGAACGCGGGGGGAGGCGAGGAGGGGCAGAGAGCGGGCGAGAATGGAGAAGGGGATGGGGATGGGGACGAGAAAAAAGAGGGCGATGGGGATGAGGAGGGGGGAGAAGACGAAGAAGAGGAAGAAGAGGAGGAGGAAGAGGAGGAGGAAGAGGAGGGGTCTGTGCTTGGGTTGAGGTCGCACTGGGACAGCACGTACGCGGACGAGCTACAACAGTTCAAGGAATGCGGTGATCCCGGCGAGATATGGTGAGCGAGGTTCTTCCCTCATGTTCTCATGCCCACTCTCCTACTGGGTGTCTCCTGAATGGTACCAACTCCCTCGCTTTGATCGCGGCCAAGTAAGCAACCACATTTCCTTTGAAAGGCCGCACAGCGGTGTGTGCAGCGCTGCCCAAACCGCGCAACCCGCGTTGCCCCTAGTCCGATTCAATGTAGACTGTGGCGCACCCTCGCACCCTCGCACTGTCGTGCCCTCGCACCCGCTCAACCTGGCACTCGTGGGCTGTCTGACCTGCATGGCAATCTTGACGCACAGAGCGCCCACACCCTGGCTACTCGCGAGGCTGCCTCTTCGCTCCACCTCGCTCCCTTCGCTTCTCCTCCTCATCACGCGCCTCTCTTATTCCGCGCTTTTCACTTCCCCTGCCCTTTCACCCGCATACTGTGGCTTCTCTCCTTCACTCTTTTCCGCCCTTACTCCCACGTTTCTCCCCTCTCTTTATCCCGTCCTGCTCCTTGCACCCCCCTCACTCTTTACACCTTTCCCTCTCCCCTCTCTCCCCTACCCTCCCCCCCCCCCCCAAAACTCTCCTCCCCTCTCCCTCCCCGCCCCTTTCCCCATACTCTCCCCCCATAAATCCCCGACCTAAATCCCCCTCCCCCCTTGCCAGGTTCGGCGGAGACGTGATGGAAACGTGTGCGGAGTGGACAGCGCGGATCGCCGCGGCCTCTGCTGCCGCGCTCGCAGCCACCGCTGCTGCTGGGGGCGATGGGGCTGGCGTGGAGCAAGGGGGCGAGGGGGAGGGGGAAGAGGACAAGGGGGAGTCGGTAGCAGGGGCGCCAGGGACGTCAGAGGGGGCGGCGTCAGGGTCAGCAGCAGCAGAAGGGCTGGCAGGGGCGGCGGCGGGGTGGCGGGTGGTGGATGTGGGCACGGGTAACGGGCTGCTGCTGCACGCACTGGCCCGATACGGGTGAGCTGCTGCCGCTGCTGCGCTGCTGTGGGTGCAAGTGAAGGGGGGCAGTGACTGTGGTGTGGGGTGCATGGGGTCGGATGGGTGGAAAAAATGCTGGCCTTTGATTGTAATGCATCTTTGTTACTTGATCTACCAGACTTCGTCTGTTCCCCTCCCTCAGCCCCTCTTCCTTCCCCAACCCCCCCTTCCCCACCCCCCCCCTTCCCCAACCCCCACACCTCCATCTCCATCCATAGACGCCACGCCCCTTCTTACCTTGTTTTGCTGTCGTTATGGCTCGCTCCTGTTTCACAAATTCGCCCATGCTCCTTGTCGCTATTTCTGCTTCTACAGTATGGATTGCTGCCCACACAGCACAGGCACCGCCACTGCCCCCCTTTTATATTACTGCACATGTCGCCCTCCTCCCTCTTCCATTCCCCCCTCCTTTCCCTTCCTTCCGCATCTCCTCACCTCTCCCGTGTACCCTCTCTTCCCCTCTCCTCCCCCCTCACTCGCCCCCTCTCTCCCACTCCCCTTTGTCCTCCCGTCCGTCCCTCGTGTGTCTGCCAGCTTCCACAATCTCCTGGGCACGGACTACAGTGAGGCAGCGGTGCAGCTCGCACAGCAGGTGGCGGAGCAAGCCGGGCTCATGCACCTGCAATTCCAGGTCATGCTCCCTTCCATGCCATGCCATCACATGCCGGGTCCTGCCATGACGTGCTAGGCAGCCCTTCTTAACACAAAGGGCGGATCGTGCCAGACTTCTTTGAAACTAGGCCTGACACGAGCCAGTCCTGGCCCGGCCCGCCCGTCGAGCCAGGCGTAATCCGGCCAAGTCCGGTCCCGGCCCAGTCTTGCTGAGCTGGATTTAGGCCTGTGTCCAGCCACGTCAGACGTTCCATGCTGCTGCTTCTTGGAATGACACTCTCCTTGCTTACTCACTACCTACTAGTCTAAGCTCAGCCTAGGCGATCCCTTGATTTTCTTCCTCGTGCGATGCTTCTCATCACTTGGCATTCCTTTTCCCCTCATGTTCTCCTCCCTCATGCTCCCTGGGAGCACAGGCTGACGATGTGCTGGACTCAGGCCTGCCCTCGGCGTCGTGCCACATGGTGGTGGACAAGGGCACCTTTGATGCCGTCCGACTGCACCCTCACGGCTCCACTCGCAAGTGAGACTTCCCTCACCTCAACTCACTCCTTTATGTTCGGATTTCTTGCCTCATGTCGTGTTTCCCCCATGTATCGCGCTGTTGATTGTGAGCTTTTGCATTCTCCATCCTATACCTGTGCAAAGGGGCGAGCCGAGTAATGCTCGACTCGTCCCTAGCCTTGCTTGGCCGAGTACGAGCCCGTGTCGAGTAATACTCGACCGAGCATTTTTCCCCCAAACAGAAACTCGTTACTCGATTTATAAAAGGAACTCGGGCGAGCATTTAGAAAAGCTCGTCCGAGTTCGAGTAATGCTCGCCCCGCTGCCCTGTAACTGCAAAAACAGGGGCCCTCACAATTACCACGGACGTGTCCAGCTAGCTAATGAAGCAATATCGGAGTAGACTAGCGGGGAAGGGAGGGGGTTGTGTTGTGACGAGATCTGAAATTGGAACGGGTGGTTGGGATTTTTGTAGATTCAGTGCGGTGAACAGAGGTAAGCGGTGGCGACTTGGTTGGGAACTCAAGGCGGAAAATTGTCGGCGAAATACAGTAGTCGGGGAAGCAATATTTCGCCCGCCGAATTACAGTAGTTGGGTTCGACCAAAGAAAGATCTTATCTGAGCTTAGCGATTGACACGACATGTGGCGGACATCTCCGATCTGCGCAGCGAAATCGCCAATCTGCGCGGATCGGCGGTCGCCGATCTGCGTATCGGCGGGCGAAATTGCCGATCCGCGCGGATCGACGGGCAAAATCGCCGATCTGCGCGGATCGGCGGGCGAAATCGTGCCCGAGTACTCGTCGAGCAAAAAACTCGGCGAGTTTTACTTGCCTCTACTCGTACGAGTAAAATTTTCAAAAACCGAAACTCGTTACTCGCACCCAAACGAGTAACTCGGGCGATACCGAGCGAGTAACTCGTCTCGTTGCACAGGTATACTCCATCCTTCATTCGTCTACTGCTCCCACCAGGTTGGGATCATGCCTGATTTTCTCTGCCTCTCACCCTTCTGATTTCCTCCCATGTTTTTTCCCTCTTCTTGTACTTCCCTCCTGTGTCCCGACCGCAGGATCAGCTATAAGAACACAGTGGCAAGGCTGCTTCTCCCCAACGGCCTTCTGGTTCGTGCAATCTATAGATGTATCCAGTGCATCTTCGTTCATGTGCTCTTTTTCCATTGCACATGAAACAGTCCTTCATAGAAATGCATCACTCTATCCCTCTTACAGATGCCCTTTTGCCTCATATCATGCAACCCGCTGCTGCCTTTGCCTACCTTCTTCCAGTTCTCCTCTCATGTTCTCCAGTATGCGTCTCTTCCTCTGTCCGTGGCGCTGTCAAACCCAACCACTTGCCCAATCTTCTGCCCCACTCTTCCCCTCCCCTCTTCGTCCCCTCCCCCCACCCCTCCTTTTTTCTTGTTCTTTCACCTTTCTCTGAATTCCAGGTCATCACGTCCTGCAACAGCACCGTGGCTGAGCTCACGGCAGAGTTCGCCCCTCCAGGTAATCTCTTCGCACGTCTAATCGTTGAAGTGCTTTGCATATTCGTCTTCATTTCCTTCGTGTACTTTCGCTTCCTGCTTTGAATCAACATCCACACCCCTCTTTCCTGGTGTCTTGACTTCCCTTTTTTTTCCATTAACTTGCGTTTCTGCCCTCTATCAGTTATAGGGAACGATGAAAGTGGGGGTATCAACACCGGGGAGCAGCAATGGAGAGGGGCCTTTGAGGTGGTAGACCATGTGAAAACATATCCCAAGTTTAGATTCGGAGGAGTGGAGGGCTCTCGTGTTGCCACTGTAGCTTTCCGCAGGAAGCAAAGGTGATGGGTAGTGGTCAGATTATTGTTTGTGACCTGGAAGTGCTGCAGGATGACAGGCCTGGTTAGGGCATGTTGTGGTGTGCTCTGGCTTGTTAGTTGCCAACAGTTAACCACATGCAGTCCTGGAAGGAACGTGATATTGCCATCTTTTGAAACTGTACATGCCTATGCTTTTGCAAAGGGTGTGTTAATGATTGACACAGACAGACTGAGCATGTTTGCAGAAAAATTACTTTCATCATGTTGGGTTCATTAGTTGCCTAATGTTGCTCGAACCAAGGCTCGAATCGAACGTACAATCGACAACAATGGAACCACCCTAGAATTTATTTCGTCATTCAGCCTCAAATTGCGTAAAGATCTCCAGTTTAGAACTCTTCACCTCGTTTGTCTTTTATCAACGTAGCAGTTAAATTCGTCATTCGATCCATCTGCATTGTCATTAGCTTCTATCCTCGCAGCACAGTTATTTGTCGTTCATCACACATTGCATGAATCTGATCCATCTGCGATAGCCTCCCGGTCAGCACGCAGACAGACCCTTGGCATTTAACGGCGTGAATTTGACCCGAGAAGTCGTCGTCGTTGAGATGCCAACTGATTCATGCCGTTTTCTTCATCGAATGAGGGTGTCGGACCCGTTCCAGTTTTAAATATTGAAGCATCATCGGCCGGCTCACAGTTCATGTCTTCAAAATATATCGGGTCCTGCAAAACATGGACGTTATAAGGGCATCCTTTGTTTACAGAATGCTCAGGTACTCTCATAAACTCCGACCTCTTCTCCGTAAGCATATGGAATGCATGGCATCCCTTGCCGTTTCTGTGAGTAATATGTTTTCGCATCAGCTGCTCTGGGGTCAATCTGCAACTCAGGTGTTAGAATCAATTTTAAATGTGAGAGGACAGACATAAGTTAATTTAGAGTTCTTCTTGCCTCAACGCTTCTTTGGAATTCATAAATCCATCCGGCAGGCCTTGCTACTACGGGCTTCAGGCTTCGGGAGATGCTGAACAAGAGCAGACCAAGAACAAAAACACGGAAGCCCATGCTTGACCAAGTTTGTGCATTCTTGGGTTTGGTTTTGGCTTTATGCGCTGGGAAACGCGATGTGCTGATACAAATCGAATGCACTAGCGAGGACAAAGTTGTTCAACTTTGACATGTACATATGAGAATCTGGGGGACTATTCCGAAATATGGCTGTGATAAACTTGCATGATCGTACACCCTCTTTCTCGCCATTGTGAACTCGGTTATAGTGAAATCAAGATGGGAAAAGCACGGTTAACGGTGGTTAGATTAAGTCTCCGTATGGTTCAATAAGACAAATCGAAGATAACAAGGTTTTCCACCAGTTCGGCACAGTTCAGTGTAGTGAGAAACAGGGTGTATATGCCATGCCATCACACTACGCAGCCTTTACCCGTTGACATCACAAAATTTTGACAGACTTTGGGATGAAATCATTATCCGCCACGTATCAAAGGATCGACGGCGCCTGTGGACTGAACAATAACGAACAGTCAGTCGTGAACTCACATTGGAGCACCCAATTGCGCGAAGGCTGATCACGAATCACGTCACATAGCGGACCCCAGTTCCCGCCAAAACACCCAAGCCAATCTACTGCTTCTGCCACGTGCAAACTGTTGAGGCCACAGATGCATTCTCGCACGGCCCAAACCACAAGTCTCCAGACTGTGTGAGGTGCTGCTTCGGGACGACAAGTCGACCATCGTGTGAGCTGCCTTGGTGACGAACCATCGATACGCACGATATTGCGAGAACATCTTAACCGTCCATCGTCGTGGCGCTATCGCCTTCCCGCGAACCGCAAGAAGCAGAAGTGGTCTGGCAGTGGATGAAAATGCTGCCCAAGCCGCGCTTCACCATCAGACCAGCGCCGCCACTCCCCAACCTCCCCCCTCTGTCATTTCCATCCCACCGAGTGTGTGCGAACCCCTCCACATCAAGAATAAGCGCTTATTCTCTGGATGTTTCGCGCCCTCCTCTATCTCTCAAGCTGTTCATAGTTACCTGTAGCTGGCCTGATTAATCGTGACTGCATGCGTTCATAAGCAATGCAGGACTCTCCTGCGTGATCAAGTCTTCCCGACCTGCATTTCAAGGCGACGACAGACTGGGGTAAAATAAACGGCACACTTCTGCCCAAGACCTCCAGTTGTCACCTCGGCACTACGCGTACCGTTCCACAAGCCTACCTGCCCTCGCGTTCTGGATGGCGTCGGCTCAGAAAGCGTCGGTGTCGCAATGGACGGGCCTGCGAGCCTCCCCGCTTGTGCCAACGCCTCCTCGCAGCCTGATTAAAGCCAAGCGCCCCATCGTCACCAAGCTACGCCTTTTCGCGTCCTCCGAGGCGCCAAAGGACTCCAAAGACATTGTTCCAAGCAAGAAAGAGGTTAGTTCTTTTACTATCATGTTTCTTGCGCGGCTTCAAAAGGGTGACATGACTACACATAGTGACTAACATATGTCGCAAATGTTACCACCGCGTATGATGTGTAAATGAACCAGATGCATTTCCACGTGCCGTCGCAATCGGCTCACGTAATTTCCACCGTGCGCTCCCATCCCGCAGAATCATGCATTTCCAACGGCCTCATCCGTTCCGTGGTTCATCACCCGCCGCGCGCTCGTCACCGGCGCGTCCATCTTCGTCGGCGCCACGTCCGGTCTCCTCGCGTCGGCCGCCGCGATGGCCAGCGACCGCCGCCTGCGCGGGCGCCAGGCCGTCCTGGAAAAAATCCGCGCGTTGCGCGAGGAGCAGCTGTCGGAGAAGTCGTCGGATAAGCTCGCGGAGGGGCCGAGCGCGCCTTCTGTTGAGACAACCACCGAGGGAGACGAGGCGGGCGAGCAGGATAGCCTTCCTGTGAGCGAGGCGGCTGTGGTAACTGGGGCTGGTGTGGGCGCATTGGTGGACGCAGTTTCTTCTGGATCGGCTGCTGCTGGCGCCGACGCCGCTACTATCGACGCCGTCTCCAGCGCCGCGGGAAGCGGAGCACAGGCCGCTGCTGATGGCAGCGCGGCGTCGGCGATCCAGTCAGCTTCGGGCTTGGATATCGGGATCGATGATGCTGAGCTGGACGCTGACGTGACGCCGTCGGGAGACGTTGACGAGGGCATCGAGACACAGCCCGAGGCTGAATATGAGGCAGTAGCTGAGCCCGAGCCTGAGGGAACGGCTGAGCCCGAACCGGACGCAGTAGCTGATCCCCAACCTGAGCCTGAGACAGCAGCTGAGCCCGAGCCTGAGCCTCCCGGTGAGTTCGACCCTGAACCAGCAGCTGACCCCGAGCCTGAGGCGGGGGCTGAGCCCGAACCTGCGACAGCAGCCGAGCCCGAGCCTGAAGCAGCAGCCGAGCCTGAGCCTGAAGTGGCAACCGAGCCCGAGCCTGAAGAAGCAGCCGAGCCCGAGCCTGAAGCAGGTGGTGAGCCCGCCGAACCTGAGGCAATTGCTGAGCCCGAACCTGAAGCAGAGGCCGAAACTGAAGCTGCAGCAGCTGAGCCCGAGCCTGAAGCAGCAGCTGAGCCCGCCGAGCCTGAGCCGATGGCTGAGCCCGAGCTTGAAGCAGAGGCCGAACCTGAAGCTGAAGCAGCAGCTGAGCCCGAGCCTGAAGCAGCAGCTGAGCCCGCCGAGCCTGAGGCAATGGCTGAGCCCGAGCCCGAAGCAGAGGCCGAACCTGAGCCTGAGTCAGCAGCTGAGTCCGGGGCTGATGGAGCAGCTGAGCCGGAGCCTGAGGAAGTGGCTGAGCTTGAGCCTGAGCCTGAAGTTGAAGTTGAGCCCAAGCCTGAAGCCGCTGAGCCTGAGCCTGAGGCAGCAGCCGAGCTCGAGGCTGAAGCAACAGCTGAGCCCGAGCCTGCAGCAGCAGCCGAGTCCGAGGCTGAAGCAGCAGCGGAGCTGGAACCTAAGCCTGAAGCGGTGGCTGAGCCCGAGCTTGAAGCAGAGGCCAAGCTCGAGCCTGAGGCAGCAGCTGAACCCGGGTCTGAACAAGCAGCTGAGCTCGAGCCTGAGTCAATGGCTGAACCCGGCCCTGAGCCTGAAGCTGCAATTGAGTCTGAGCCCGAAATTGCTGAGCCCCGGCCTGAAGCAGCTGGGCCCGAGCCTGAAGCAGCTGAGCCCAAGCCTGAAGCAGCTGAGCCCGAGCCTGAAGAAGCAGGTCAGCCCGAGACTGAGACAATGGCTGATGCCGAGCTTGAGCCTGAAGCTGCAGTTGAGCCCGAGCCGGAGGCCGAGCCTGAAGCAGCAGCCGAGCCCGAGCCTGAAGAAGCTACTGGGTTCGAACCTGAGCCTGAAGCTGCAGCTGAGTTCGAACCTGACGCAGTGGCCGAGCCTGAAGCTGAGGCAGTGGCTGAGCCCGTACCTGAACCTGAAGTTGCAGTTGAGCCCGAACCTGAGGGAATGGCTGGACCCGAGCCTGAGTCGGAGGTTGCAGCAGCGCCCGAGCCTGAGGCAACAGCTGAGACAGGTCCTGAGGCAGCAGCGGAGACGGGACCTGAAGGAGCGGCAGACATCGAGCCTGAAGCGCCAGCAGACCCCGAGCCCAAAGAGACACCAGCGCCTGAGCCTGATACTTTGGCCGAACCCGAACCTGAAGTAGTGGCTGAGCCAGAGCCTGAAGCACAATCTGCACCCGAGCCTGAGGCGGCAGCAGAGCCCGAGCCCGAGCCTGAGGCGGCAGCCGATCCCGAGCCTGAAGCAGCAGCAGAGCCCGAGCCTGAGCCTGAGGTGGCAGCAGAGCACGAGCCTGCGCCTGAGGTGGCAGCAGAGCCCGAGCCTGAAGCAGCAGCTGAGCCCGAGACCGAGCCTGGGGCGGCAGTAGAGCCCGAGCCTGAAGCAGCAGCTGAGCCCGAGACCGAGCCTGGGGCGGCAGGAGAGCCCGAGCCTGAGCCTGAGGTGGCAGCAGAGCCCGAGACTGAGCCTGAGGCGGCAACAGAGGCCGAGCCTGAGCCTGAAGCAGCAGCAGAGCCCGAGCCTGAGCCTGAGGAGGCAGCAGAGCCCGAACCCGAGCCTGAAGTTGCAACAGAGGCCGAGCCTGAGCCTGAGGTGGCAGCCGAGCCCGAGCCCGAGCCTGAGGCAGCAGCAGAGCCCGAGCCTGAAGCAGCAGCAGAGCCCGAGCCTGAGCCTGAGGTGGCAGCAGAGCCCGAGCCTGAGGCGGCAGTGGAGCCCGAGCCTGAAGCAGCAGCTGAGCCCGAGCCTGAGACGGCAGCAGAGCCCGAGCCCGAGCCTGAAGTGGCAGCAGAGCCCGAGCCCGAGCCTGAGGCAACAGCAGAGCCCGAGCCTGAGCCTGAGGTGGCAGCAGAGCCCGAGCCTGAGCCTGAAGTGGCAGCAGAGCCCGAGCCTGAGCCTGAGGTGGCAGCGGAGCCCGAACCTGAGCCTGAAGCAGCAGCAGAGCCCGAGCCTGAGCCTGAGGTGGCACCAGAGCCCGAGCCCGAGCCTGAAGCACCAGCACAGCCCGAGCCTGAGCCTGAGGCGGCAGCAGAGCCCGAGCCTGAGCCTGAGGTGGCAGCAGAGCCCGAGCCTGAAGTGGCAGCAGAGCCCGAGCCCGAGCCCGAGGCAGCAGCAGAGCCCGAGCCTGAGCCTGAGGCGGCAGCAGAGCCCGAGCCTGAGCCTGAGGTGGCAGCAGAGCCCGAGCCCGAGCCCGAGCCCGAGCCCGAGCCCGAGGCAGCAGCAGAGCCCGAGCCTGAGCATGAGGCGGCAGCAGAGCCCGAGGCTGAGCCCGAGGTGGCAGCAGAGCCCGAGCCTGAGCCTGAGGCGGTAGCAGAGCCCGAGCCCGAGCCTGAAGCAGCAGCAGAGCCCGAGCCTGAGCCTGAGGTGGCAGCAGAGCCCGAGCCTGAGCCTGAGGCGGCAGCAGAGCCCGAGCCCGAGCCTGAGGCGGCAGCAGAGCCCGAGCCTGAGGCGGCAGCAGAGCCCGAGCCTCAGGCGGCAGCAGAGCCCGAGCCTGAGCCTCAGGCGGCAGCAGAGCCCGAGCCTGAGCCTGAAGCAGCAGCAGAGCCCGAGCCCGAGCCTGAAGCAGCAGCAGAGCCCGAGCCTGAGCCTGAGGTGGCAGCAGAGCCCGAGCCTGAGCCTGAGGTGGCAGCAGAGCCCGAGCCTGAAGCAGCAGCTGAGCCCGAGCCCGAGCCAGCAGCAGCAGAGCCCGAGCCTGAGCCTCAGGTGGCAGCAGAGCCCGAGCCTGAGCCTGAGGTGTCAGCAGAGCCCGAGCCTGAAGCAGCAGCTGAGCCCGAGCCCGAGCCTGAGACGGCAGCAGAGCCCGAGCCTGAGCCTGAGGTGGCAGCAGAGCCCGAGCCCGAGCCTGAAGCAGAAGCAGAGCCCGAGCCTGAAGCAGCAGCAGAGCCCGAGCCTGATCCTGAGGTGGCAGCAGAGCCCGAGCCTGAGCTTGAGGCGGCAGCAGAGCCCGAGCCTGAGCCTGAGGTGGCCACAGAGCCTGAGCCTGAGGTGGCAGCAGAGCCCGAGCCCGAGCCTGAGGCAGCAGCAGAGCCCGAACCTGAGCCTGAAGTTGCAACAGAGGCCGAGCCTGAGCCTGAGGCGGCAGCAGAGCCCGAGCCTGAGCCTGAGGTGGCCGCAGAGCCCGAGCCTGAGCCTGAGGTGGCAGCAGAGACCGAGCCCGAGCCTGAGGCAGCAGCAGAGCCCGTGCCCGAGCCTGAGGCAGCAGCAGAGCCCGAGCCTGAGCTTGAGGCGGCAGCAGAGCCCGAGCCTGAGCCTGAGGTGGCCGCAGAGCCCGAGCCTGAGCCTGAGACGGCAGCAGAGCCCGAGCCTGAGCCTGAGGTGGCCACAGAGCCTGAGCCTGAGGTGGCAGCAGAGCCCGAGCCCGAGCCTGAGGCAGCAGCAGAGCCCGAACCTGAGCCTGAAGTTGCAACAGAGGCCGAGCCTGAGCCTGAGGCGGCAGCAGAGCCCGAGCCTGAGCCTGAGGTGGCCGCAGAGCCCGAGCCTGAGCTTGAGGCGGCAGCAGAGCCCGAGCCTGAGCCTGAGGTGGCCGCAGAGCCCGAGCCTGAGCCTGAGACGGCAGCAGAGCCCGAGCCTGAGCCTGAGGTGGCCACAGAGCCTGAGCCTGAGGTGGCAGCAGAGCCCGAGCCCGAGCCTGAGGCAGCAGCAGAGCCCGAACCTGAGCCTGAAGTTGCAACAGAGGCCGAGCCTGAGCCTGAGGCGGCAGCAGAGCCCGAGCCTGAGCCTGAGGTGGCCGCAGAGCCCGAGCCTGAGCCTGAGGTGGCAGCAGAGACCGAGCCCGAGCCTGAGGCAGCAGCAGAGCCCGTGCCCGAGCCTGAAGTTGCAACTGAGGCCGAGCCTGGGCCTGAGGCGGCAGCAGAGCCCGAGCCTGAGCCTGAGGCGGCAGCAGAGCCCGAGCCCGAGCCTGAAGTGGCAGCAGAGCCCGAGCCTGAGCCTGAGGCAGCAGCAGAGCCCGAGCCTGAGCCTGAGGTGGCAGCAGAGCCCGAGCCTGAAGCAGCAGCAGAGCCCAAGCCTGAGCCTGAGACGGTAGCAGAGCCCGAGCCCGAGCCTGAGGTGGCAGCAGAGCCCGAGCCTGAAGCAGCAGCTGAGCCCGAGCCCGAGCCTGAGACCGCAGCAGAGCCCGAGCCCGAGCCAGCAGCAGCAGAGCCCGAGCCTGAGCCTCAGGTGGCAGCAGAGCCCGAGCCTGAGCCTGAGGTGTCAGCAGAGCCCGAGCCTGAAGCAGCAGCTGAGCCCGAGCCCGAGCCTGAGACGGCAGCAGAGCCCGAGCCTGAGCCTGAGGTGGCAGCAGAGCCCGAGCCCGAGCCTGAAGCAGCAGCAGAGCCCGAGCCTGAGCCTGAGGCGGCAGCAGAGCCCGAGCCTGAGCCTGAGGTGGCAGCAGAGCCCGAGCCTGAGCTTGAGGCGGCAGCAGAGCCCGAGCCTGAGCCTGAGGTGGCAGCAGAGCCCGAGCCCGAGCCTGAGGCAGCAGCAGAGCCCGAACCTGAGCCTGAAGTTGCAACAGAGGCCGAGCCTGAGCTTGAGGCGGCAGCAAAGCCTGAGCCTGAGGCGGCAGCAGAGCCCGAGCCTGAGCCTGAGGTGGCAGCAGAGCCCGAGCCTGAAGCAGCAGCTGAGCCCGAGCCTGAGCCTGAGACGGCAGCAGAGCCCGAGCCCGAGCCTGAGGCAGCAGCAGAGCCCGAGTCCGAGGCTGAAGCAGCAGCAGAGCCCGAGCCTGAGCCTGAGGCAGCAGCAGAGCCCGAACCTGAGCTTGAGGCGGCAGCAGAGCCCGAGCCTGAGCCTGAGGTGGCCGCAGAGCCCGAGCCTGAGCCTGAGACGGCAGCAGAGCCCGAGCCTGAGCCTGAGGTGGCAGCAGAGCCCGAGCCTGAGCCTGAGGTGGCAGCAGAGCCCGAGCCTGAAGCAGCAGCTGAGCCCGAGCCTGAGCCTGAGACGGCAGCAGAGCCCGAGCCCGAGCCTGAGGCGGCAGCAGAGCCCGAGTCCGAGGCTGAAGCAGCAGCAGAGCCCGAGCCTGAGCCTGAGGCAGCAGCAGAGCCCGAGCCTGAGCTTGAGGCGGCAGCAGAGCCCGAGCCTGAGCCTGAGGTGGCCGCAGAGCCCGAGCCTGAGCCTGAGACGGCAGCAGAGCCCGAGCCTGAGCCTGAGGTGGCAGCAGAGCCCGAGCCCGAGCCTGAGGCAGCAGCAGAGCCCGAACCTGAGCCTGAAGTTGCAACAGAGGCCGAGCCTGAGCCTGAGGCGGCAGCAGAGCCCGAGCCTGAGCCTGAGGTGGCCGCAGAGCCCGAGCCTGAGCCTGAGGTGGCAGCAGAGACCGAGCCCGAGCCTGAGGCAGCAGCAGAGCCCGTGCCCGAGCCTGAAGTTGCAACTGAGGCCGAGCCTGGGCCTGAGGCGGCAGCAGAGCCCGAGCCCGAGCCTGAAGTGGCAGCAGAGCCCGAGCCTGAGCCTGAGGTGGCAGCAGAGCCCGAGCCTGAAGCAGCAGCAGAGCCCAAGCCTGAGCCTGAGACGGTAGCAGAGCCCGAGCCCGAGCCTGAGGCAGCAGCAGAGCCCGAGCCTGAGCTTGAGGCGGCAGCAGAGCCCGAGCCTGAGCCTGAGGTGGCCGCAGAGCCCGAGCCTGAGCCTGAGACGGCAGCAGAGCCCGAGCCTGAGCCTGAGGTGGCAGCAGAGCCCGAGCCCGAGCCTGAGGCAGCAGCAGAGCCCGAACCTGAGCCTGAAGTTGCAACAGAGGCCGAGCCTGAGCCTGAGGCGGCAGCAGAGCCCGAGCCTGAGCCTGAGGTGGCCGCAGAGCCCGAGCCTGAGCCTGAGGTGGCAGCAGAGACCGAGCCCGAGCCTGAGGCAGCAGCAGAGCCCGTGCCCGAGCCTGAAGTTGCAACTGAGGCCGAGCCTGGGCCTGAGGCGGCAGCAGAGCCCGAGCCCGAGCCTGAAGTGGCAGCAGAGCCCGAGCCTGAGCCTGAGGTGGCAGCAGAGCCCGAGCCTGAAGCAGCAGCAGAGCCCAAGCCTGAGCCTGAGACGGTAGCAGAGCCCGAGCCCGAGCCTGAGGCAGCAGCAGAGCCCGAGCCTGAGCCTGAGGTGGCAGCAGAGCCTGAACCTGAGCCTGAAGTTGCAACAGAGGCCGAGCCTGAGCCTGACGCGGCAGCAGAGCCTGAGCCCGAGCCTGAAGCAGCAGCAGTGCCCGAGCCTGAGGCAGATGCGGCAGCAGAGCGTGAGGCAGGAGCAGTGCCTGAGTCCATGGCAGCGGCCGGTGGGTCAGCTGCTGTGTCTGGTGATAGTGCAGTGGACGAAGCCATTGGGGAGATCATCCAGATTATCAAGGACTCACTCAAGGGGTAGCGCTTGGAGGAGGATAACCACTGCTGCAATCAAGTGGGTGCAGTGAACCTGGGGGTCAAGCAAGAGTGACGTAGGTTGCAGAGGTGGTGCAGACATGTGGGGTAGGGTGGTTTCTCTTTGTTGTGGTAGCTCTCAGGCTTTGTGCAGGCTTGTAGGTGTCTTTTTCTGCTGTCCAATGTTTTATTTTCTCCAACTCTGTTGCGTTTTTGCTTTGAGTAGTGCACTGTTTGAACAATAATACACTCCTAGGTGAGAAGATATAGCAATTTGAACAACTGCTTTTACTTTAAAGTGAAATTTCCGGATCTGATAAGCTCAGCGTACAGCAACTCATTCCATGTGTCGGGCACACCAGGCAGACACCAATGCACACAGTCTCGCACGAGTGTCTTCACTCCATCACCGGGCATAGTATTCTCCCTCATATCCCCCAGAGCTTCTTGTCCTGTCACATTAAACGCAGCAGTTTCCAAGCCAGCTGAAGGAACAGGCCCACTCCTTTTGGTTACTGTGTCAAACTGAGAAAAGCCTTCAGCCCCTTCCGTTCCAAACCCTCTGTGCTTCTGTTTCGGTGCTGTGCGGTAGGTGTAGAACGACGCCACGTGTGCGTCGGCCCGTAGAGCAGAGAGAAGCGAGACCTTCATCAAGCGTAACCATGTAACTGAATGCCCTGATGCACCCTCTGCTGCAGCTCGAAGCCCGCTCAAAGCTGTAGCTTCCCCCAGTCCTTCATCTCCTGCTGATGGCACTAGCTCTGCCCCTGCTTGCTCTGCTCCTGCTCCGTCTGCTCCATCTGCTGCCGATGCTCTCCCCACCCCTGCTGCAGCACGCAAGGCATCTTCGGCTGCTGTGTCCCTGCACTGCCCAGAGAGTGCACATGCCTCCTCTCCTCGGAGTGGGTCCTGAGCAGAAACACCAAAGCAGAAGAGGAGGGCGCGGGGAGATGCACAGGGACAGCGAGGCACGCTCACACTGAGATGCCTGCGTGGGTCGGTGCTGTTAGCATCCGAATCCATTGTCGTACGGCCGTGCTGTTGGCCCAGCCCATCATACTGTGTTGTGTTACAACAAGGGTTTGGTGCCACAGGGCGAAGAACGTCGCGCAAGGTCGGAGAAGAGACAGAGACAGAGACAGACCGAGGCAGAGGCACAGAAGCAGAGGCAGAGGCAGAGACAGGAATCGCTGGAGTGGCAAGCGCTCTCACCTGAAACCCGTCGCAGCGCCCGCCTGTACTCCACGTGCCAGCAGCAAAGTGCGCTGGAGACAGCGTGCGCAGCAGCACCAGAGGAGGTGGGCCCAAGGCCATGCGCGGCGGGTCACTGGAAGGCGCTGTGCCGCTCACTGCTGCATCTGCCATGCCTTGGGAAGGGGAATAAGACTCATGCTGGGGGGACGACTCAGTCGTGGCACTGCCTGCAAACACGGGGGAAGAAGACCCTGCTTCGTGCTCCCCATGGCCGCTGCTGCTGCTAGTGCGGCTGCTGGCTGCCGCTGCACCTCGCAGCGTGACTATAGCGGAGGTGATGTTACGAAGGACAGCTGTCAATGCTTCCTGCCGCAGGACTGAGTACAGCGTGGCGTTTTCCGATTGGCTGGCTGGGAGCAGGGCTGGGCGGGCGGTGGGGGACGTTTGAAGGGCGAGCTTGTATCGCTGGAAGCTGTTTGGGGATAGATGAGATGGATGGTGCAGGGAACGAGGGGAGATGGGGGAATGGGTTGGGAGAAAAGGGGGGAGAGAGACGGGGGTATTCAAGACATATTCACAAGGTGGAAAGGAGCTAGGAGGATTGCTCTTGCTCCTGTGTTGTCCGTGCTACAGAATCACTTGACTGGTGGATGAGACTACAGCTCTCACTGCCTACTACTCACACCTCTCAAATATACCACTCCTAACGAATCCTTGCTGCCAAGACATGCTCACGCGCACTGCTGTCACAGTGCTAGCGATGCACTGGTGCGCGCACTGCTGTCACCTGTCGTGGGTCCAGTGGTGGCCCGTGCTGAGAACAAGGAGATGGAAGCGCATGAGGTGGCGGTGCAGGAAATCATCCATGCGATACAAGTGCCCCACTCGCTTGTACTGCCCCGCTGCGCCTCCTTCTGCTGCTGCTGCTGCTCTGCTGCCACTGCTTCTGCCAATGGTGCTGCTGCTGCTGGCTCCACCACTGCTGCTGCTGTCCGTATTGTCGCTGCTGCCACTGCTGCCGTCCCCAGCACTGCTACTCTCTCCACCACCCTCGTTCCCGCGACTGCTCTCTCCCGCCTGTCCCCCCGCCACCACGCGCTCCACGTGCACGAGCCAGTTGGCGGTGCGCTGCAGCACGGCGAGGTTGGCATGGGGGAACCAGAAGGCGCCGCCCCTCTCCGTGCCCGCCACAGGCCTCCTCGCCCACGACAGCCCAAACAGGTGCCCCACTGCCACCACCTCCACTGCACCCGCTGCTGCACCCGCTGCTGCACCCTCTGCTGCACCCTCTGCTGCGCCCGCTGCTGCACCCTCTGCTGCGCCCGCTGCTGCGGCCTCTGCTGCGCCCGCTGCTGCGGCCTCTGGTGCTTGGGCTGCTCCAGGAGCAGAGTTGAGAGTGTCAGGCTGAGATGGGTCGGGGTTTAGGGAGCGCGGCTGGTTCAGATTGGATGGTTGAAAGAGAGGGGAGGAGGGAGATAGGACGGGGAGGTGAGGCGGAGGCGGGGAGGGGAGAGGGATGAAGCGGGGGGTGGGGGTGAGGAGGCAGAGGAGGGAGAGGAACTGCTGCTGGCTGAGGGAGTCGCCCGCAAACGCAATGCTGCGATGGCGCACCCTGGCAGGGCGGGAATCATGAGGGGTGGGGGCCAGAGCGGGTGGGGAAGGAGTGGTAGAGGAAGAGGGGCACAGAAGGATAGAGAGAGGTACGGAACGGACAGACATGAGCCATGGCACTGGAAGAGGGGGAAGGAAGGCGTGTGTCTCACGTGCTGTGCTGTGATATGCTTACTGGTGTGTCGAGGAAACAGGCGATTGGAAAAGCTTCCATGGGAGTTGCAATGCTAACGATGTTACATCGTTACAACATCGCGGCACAGCATCACAGGAAAGCAACACAGAAACACAGAGTCACCGAGTCACCTGGAGAGGAATTCAGGAGCATTGAAGGCAGGCAGCGAGCACCCTGAGGGCTGCCATCTGTACTCCTCATACCCAAAGCTGCGATACAGCTCATCCCCCTGCTCTCCCTCCTCCTTCTTCTCCTCCTCCCCCTGCTGCTGCTGCTCTCCCAAGTGCCTTGCCTCTCGTGTGTTTCGTAACCCTCTTAAGCCTCTTGGTTCACCAGAAGTTTCCGAATCTCTACTCGGACTCCATTCCCTTTCCTTCCCAGTGCCTTCAGGCCCTTCCCTTATCCCTCCTGATTCCCTGCTGCGCGCTCTGTGCGTGCGGTGGCACTGGTACTGCTCCCAGTACCCCAACCACGCACACTCCTCCCCTCGATAATAACGACGGCGTGAAGTGTCCCTCACCCATTGGCCCTCATACAAATCGCACTCTCTTTTGACCGCCCCGGCGTCCTCAGGCTGTTTCTGCGGAAACTCCCGAGTCGTCTCAGATTCCTCTGAAATCGACACATTAGAACTCTCCTGCGAGGAGAATAAACTCGCAAACTCCAGATTTCGGTTGGACGGGTCGTTAAAGAGAAACCAATGTAAGCAGAGGACCGCGAATGCTAATAACGAAGCCAATGAGGCTCTAAGGATCGCCGCTCGTGTAGCGTGGCCGCGGAGCATGGGTGTCGCAAGTCCGTCTAACGTCGAGGCGAACGTTATGAATTTGAGCTGTACAGTACTGCAGCCTACTCCACGAGTCTGCTACCACACGACTTTTATCCGACGAACTGAACACACGTGGGCGTGTCCCCAGTGCTCGTCCGAGTGCAACTGGATGAGTTTGGTACGATCTAGGAAGGTATTCGCAAGATTTAAAATTGGTTTGGTGTGACAGAAGTGTATTTTCTTTCCCAGGGGCTGCATGAATGATGGTCATCTTTTAGGCCAAAACCCTCGTCGAAACGCACAGAAATGCGGTCTTCGTCAATGAAACCGCTTGAGCCGTACGATACTGTACTCCACCGAGCGTGTCAGACAAACTCGAAACAGTCTGCGAATAAAATCACGTTCTGAAGCGGCCTGGAAGCCAAACACGCCCTAGATGCCCTTTCGAAACCTAATCCTACCTCACGCCCTTTCTGTAATCCTACCTCACAGATCAAAACAAGCTCAACAGTTGTCTGTTTACTCACGACCTGGTCACCACAACAGCTGCTTATGAGATTGCCGAATGAAGCAGCTATCGGGTCCGAGTCTTGCATTTCCTCGAGTCGCGAAATGACGGCAATCGCGCAGCAGCTGCAATGCAGCTCTCCACGTGCCGCCTTAGCCGGCGTGGTCCAATCTGGGCGGTTGACGTGTCAGACGCGCCTCGCTGTGCCCTTGACCAGGTCCTTTAGTCTCCAGGAGCCTACTATGTCATCAGAACGATCGATCTCGCCACGTCAATCTTCCGCTCGACTCGTAGCTAGCGGTATCGCTTGCTGTGCAGGCACGTGGAATGCCGTGGCGAGAATACCGCGGCGCGCTACGATCTGCGCAGCGGCCAACGCTGATGGGCGCGCGTGGGGGGAAGGGGACGGAGGCGGGGAGGTTGCGGGCGGAGGGAGAAGCGGAGGAGGCGGGGAGGTTGAGGAAGGGGAAGGCGGAAGGGCAGTGCGGCAGGTTTCGGAGAGCGCGGAAGGTTCAAGGCCCGTGGGCGTGCATTTCATCGGGATCGGCGGATCGGGGCTGTCGGCTCTGGCCGCAGTGGCGCTGAAGCAGGTGAGCGGCACGCGGAGGTCGCATGGCCGCATAGTATGGTAGAGAGGTCACATCACGTGAACATGAGTCGTCCAGCAGCGTTGCCCGCGCGCTGTGCTAGCTGCGCGCGCTGAAGGCACGAGTACCATGATCCCTAAGATTGCAACACATGTATCTAGCGGTCGTTAATCTCGTGACAGTCACTGCTGCCGTCAATCCGTCCATCCGGTTCCATCCTGTTACAACGGCGATTCTCTGCCCCTCCCCTCTATCCTCCCCCCCCCCCTTTCCCCTCCTCCTCAGGGCTACCTGGTGTCGGGCTCCGACAGCAGCGCGAGCGCGCAGCTGCAGCGCGTGCAGCAGCACGGCGCAGTGGCGCACGTGGGGCACTCCGCCGCTCACATCGACTCCGCCCTGCAGCGCGCCCTGCACGCCGCCGGGGTAGCGCGGACGGACGGGGGAGCAGGGGCGGAGGGGAAGGAAGAGGGGAGCGAGGGGCGAGAGGGGGTTGCGAAGGGGGGAGCGAGTGGGGCGGTGGTGCTGGTGGTGGTGGTGTCGAGTGCGGTGGCGGCGGATAATGTGGAGGTGCTGCGCGCACGGGAGCTGGGCGTGCCCGTGTGAGTGCACCGCGTCGGGGCGCTGGTGTGTGTGTGGGAGGGGAGAGGTGGGGGGGAGGGCGCTGTGTGGGGGGGGGGGGGGGGGGGGGGGAGGGAAGAGGTGGGGGGGGGGGAGGGAAGAGGTGGGGGGGGGCCGCTGTGTGTGTGTCTGTGTGTGTGTGTGTGTGTGTGTGTGTGTGTGTGTGTGTGCGCGTGCGTGCATGTGTGCGTGCTCATTTGGTGTGCGTGTGTGTGTGCATGAGGTGTGTTATTGATGGTGAGTATGGTGGGGAGGTAACGATGGTGAACGTGTCATCGACCCAAGTACAGCTGGTTGCTGAGAGAATGCCAGTGTGAGTGCATGCATGGTGTGACATGATATGATATCATGCTGATGTGGTACGCGGATGCGTATGCATGTGGCGGTAGCTATGCACATGGGTGGATCCATGCATGAGATTGTGTCGCGAAGCACATGATTCTTCTTCTCAGTCTGTGGCCCCACACACTTCATCCACGCCTTTCTCCTTTGAATCACCTCCTCACCTCATCCCATCCCGTCACATCCCATGCCCTCCCCTCTCCTTTCTTCTCCTCTCTCGCCCCCTCCTCTCCACCTTCTCCCCTCTCTCCTCTCCTCCCCTCCCCTCTCAGCTCCTCTCCCCCGTTCTTATCTCCTCTTTTCTCTTTTCCTCTCCTCCCCTCTTCCCTCGTCTTGTTTCCTCGCCTGCCTTCTCCTCTCCTTCCCCCTCGTTTCCTCTCTCGTTTCCTCTCCTCTCCTCTCCTCTCCTCTCCTCTCCTCTCCCCTGTTGCAGCCTCAAACGGTGGCAGTGGCTTGGCATGATGACGTCAGCATTCGACTTGGTTGCTGTAGCTGGTACTCATGGTGCGTCCACTGTTCATGCCATGCCATGCCATGCCATGCCATGCCATGCCATGCGTGCCATGCCATGCGTGCCATGCCATTCACCGCCTGCACCATTTACATGGACCCCTAGTTACTTTTGCTCTCTCCCGAACTCCTAACCATCCCACCGTCCCACCGTCCCAAAGAGTCACCTCACCACTACATGTGCAGCATTCCTCTGTTCGTGACACACTCTCCGCCGCCCTCGCTGGCGCCCATCTGCTCTCACCTCTCGTGCCACAGCTCCCTGTACTCTTTTCGCCTCTCTACTCCTATCTCTCTCCGTCCTCGTGACTCGTCTCTGCCTCACCCCTGCTGCTCCCACCCCGGCTGCTCCCACCATGCGTGCGTGCGTCCTCACGATGGCTGGAAGGCAAGAGCACGACGACAGCCATGCTCACGTGGGTGCTGCGCCAGATGGGGGTGCCCCTCGCTGCTGTCATCGGCGCCAATGTGCCTCAGGTGCGCTCAAATACCCATGCCACTGCCTCTCTCATGCCCATGCCTCTCACATGCCTCATTGTCTCTCAAGTGAACGCACGTCTTTTACCGCTGGTTGTTCAATTCCCTCGGGTCGGCCACGGCTTATCCACCCTTCCATCCTTCCACGCATGCATGGCACACAAGGCACAGCAGAAGGGTGTGAGAGAGCTAGCCCAGTAGCAGCGCTGACCACTTCTCTCGGGCACCTCTTCCTGCCTGCTCGCTGTGATGTGAACCTGCCTGCTCGCTGTGAACCTGCCTGCTCGCTGTGAACCTGCCTGCTCGCTGTGAACCTGCCTGCTCGCTGTGAACCTGCCTGCTCGCTGTGAACCTGCCTGCTCGCTGTGAACCTGCCTGCTCGCTGTGAACCTGCCTGCTCGCTGTGAACCTGCCTGCTCGCTGTGAACCTGCCTGCTCGCTGTGAACCTGCCTGCTCGCTGTGAACCTGCCTGCTCGCTGTGAACCTGCCTGCTCGCTGTGAACCTGCCTGCTCGCTGTGAACCTGCCTGCTCGCTGTGAACCTGCCTGCTCGCTGTGAACCTGCTGCTCGCTGTGAACCTGCCTGCTCGCTGTGAACCTGCCTGCTCGCTGTGAACCTGCCTGCTCGCTGTGAACCTGCCTGCTCGCTGTGAACCTGCCTGCTCGCTGTGAACCTGCCTGCTCGCTGTGAACCTGCCTGCTTCGCTGTGAACCTGCCTGCTCGCTGTGAACCTGCCTGCTCGCTGTGAACCTGCCTGCTCGCTGTGACCCTGCCTGCTCGCTGTGAACCTGCCTGCTCGCTGTGAACCTGCCTGCTCGCTGTGAACCTGCCTGCTCGCTGTGAACCTGCCTGCTCGCTGTGAACCTGCCTGCTCGCTGTGAACCTGCCTGCTCGCTGTGAACCTGCCCTGCTCGCTGTGAACCTGCCCTGCCTCGCTGTGAACCTGCCTGCTCGCTGTGAACCTGCCTGCTCGCTGTGAACCTGCCTGCTCGCTGTGAACCTGCCTGCTCGCTGTGACCTGCCTGCTCGCTGTGAACCTGCCTGCTCGCTGTGAACCTGCCTGCTCGCTGTGAACCTGCCTGCTCGCTGTGAACCTGCCTGCTCGCTGTGAACCTGCCTGCTCGCTGTGAACCTGCCTGCTCGCTGTGAACCTGCCTGCTCGCTGTGAACCTGCCTGCTCGCTGTGAACCCTGCTCGCTTGACCTCTGCTCGCTGTGAACCTGCCTGCTCGCTGTGAACCTGCCTGCTCGCTGTGAACCTGCCTGCTCGCTGTGAACCTGCCTGCTCGCTGTGAACCTGCCTGCTCGCTGTGAACCTGCCTGCTCGCTGTGAACCTGCCTGCTCGCTGTGAACCTGCCTGCTCGCTGTGAACCTGCCTGCTCGCTGTGAACCTGCCTGCTCGCTGTGAACCTGCCTGCTCGCTGTGAACCTGCCTGCTCGCTGTGAACCTGCCTGCTCGCTGTGAACCTGCCTGCTCGCTGTGAACCTGCCTGCTCGCTGTGAACCTGCCTGCTCGCTGTGAACCTGCCTGCTCGCTGTGAACCTGCCTGCTCGCTGTGAACCTGCCTGCTCGCTGTGAACCTGCCTGCTCGCTGTGAACCTGCCTGCTCGCTGTGCTGTGAACCTGCCTGCTCGCTGTGAACCTGCCTGCTCGCTGTGAACCTGCCTGCTCGCTGTGAACCTGCCTGCTCGCTGTGAACCTGCCTGCTCGCTGTGAACCTGCCTGCTCGCTGTGAACCTGCCTGCTCGCTGTGAACCTGCCTGCTCGCTGTGAACCTGCCTGCTCGCTGTGAACCTGCCTGCTCGCTGTGAACCTGCCTGCTCGCTGTGAACCTGCCTGCTCGCTGTGAACCTGCCTGCTCGCTGTGAACCTGCCTGCTCGCTGTGAACCTGCCTGCTCGCTGTGAACCTGCCTGCTCGCTGTGAACCTGCCTGCTCGCTGTGAACCTGCCTGCTCGCTGTGAACCTGCCTGCTCGCTGTGAACCTGCCTGCTCGCTGTGAACCTGCCTGCTCGCTGTGAACCTGCCTGCTCGCTGTGAACCTGCCTGCTCGCTGGCCTGCCTGCTCGCTGTGAACCTGCCTGCTCGCTGTGAACCTGCCTGCTCGCTGTGAACCTGCCTGCTCGCTGTGAACCTGCCTGCTCGCTGTGAACCTGCCTGCTCGCTGTGAACCTGCCTGCTCGCTGTGAACCTGCCTGCTCGCTGTGAACCTGCCTGCTCGCTGTGAACCTGCCTGCTCGCTGTGAACCTGCCTGCTCGCTGTGAACCTGCCTGCTCGCTGTGAACCTGCCTGCTCGCTGTGAACCTGCCTGCTCGCTGTGAACCTGCCTGCTCGCTGTGAACCTGCCTGCTCGCTGTGAACCTGCCTGCTCGCTGTGAACCTGCCTGCGTCACCGTGACTGACTCCACATGCGTCGCCTTGATGCTCCCTCCCTCAGCACATCACCGGCAAGACAACCATGCAAGCGCTTGCTGTTTTGACTCCTTGTTTCCTCTCCCACACACACACCATATCCTCCTCTCCTTCTCTCCGCGCCGCCTTTCCCTCTTCCAAACCCCGCCATTACTGCAGTTGCCAGGTGGCGGCAACGCATTGGTGGATGACGGTGCAAGCATGATGGTGCTGGAGGTGAGCGGCCCTCCTAGCAGCCCAGGCTCTCTGCATGTGAAACCCTCTCATGCTGGCCTGGGCCCCCATGTGAAACCCTCTCATGCTGGCCTGGGCCCCCATGTGAAACCCTCTCATGCTGGCCTGGGCCCCCATGTGAAACCCTCTCATGCTGGCCTGGGCCCCCACGTGAAACCCTCTCATGCTGGCCTGGGCCCCCATGTGAAACCCTCTCATGCTGGCCTGGGCCCCCATGTGAAACCCTCTCATGCTGGCCTGGGCCCCCATGTGAAACCCTCTCATGCTGGCCTGGGCCCCCACGTGAAACCCTCTCATGCTGGCCTGGGCCCCCATGTGAAACCCTCTCATGCTGGCCTGGGCCCCCATGTGAAACCCTCTCATGCTGGCCTGGGCCCCCACGTGAAACCCTCTCATGCTGGCCTGGGCCCCCATGTGAAACCCTCTCATGCTGGCCTGGGCCCCCACGTGAAACCCTCTCATGCTGGCCTGGGCCCCCACGTGAAACCTTCTCCTTCATGGGCCTAGACTAGACTCATGAGAACCGGAGCTTTGACAGAGCCTTGATTTCTTACGCTTGACACCCACGAGCCTTGAGAGAGGCGAGCGAGTGAGTTGCATGTGGTGCTTGTGTTGTGATGTGATGCGATGTGATGTGATGCAATGTGATGTGATGTGATGTGATGTGATGCAATGTGATGTGATGTGATGTGATGTGATGCAATGTGATGCGATGTGATGTGATGCAATGCATGCAAGACTGGATGATCCCACGAAATTCTTCGTGTGTTTTTCAGCCCGAATGAGCCGAGCACTCACTGTTCCGCACGGCACCTCAAGAGACAAGGGTTTGTTTCTATCAGAGGGCGAAAGACAGAGAGTGGGCAGCTTCTTTTGAGTCTACTCAAAACGAGGGCAAAAGAGAGAGAGAGCGAGCGGGCAGCTTCTTTGTGAAGCTCTGCTCGGCGTTCCAATGCAGCGCTGCACTGCACTGCTCTGCGCTGGGTGGCTGTCCCGTCCCGTGTATTCCCTGGCAGGCGGACGAGTACGACGGTGCCTTCCTGGAGCTATCCCCGGGCATTGCGGTGGTGACCAACGTGGAGTGGGAGCACGTGGACCTCTTTCACAGCGAGGTGCGCCACACGGGGCTCGTTGGGGGGTCATTGGGGGATCATTGGGTATTGACTGGGTGCTGACTCTTCACTCCTCAGACTGTGGCCCTGGTGATCGGGGATGACGTGACCAGGCTCTGAGCAGATTGTGACGGTTCAGTTGGAGAGAGAGAGAGCGATGCAGTTGGAGAGAGAGAGAGCGATGCAGTTGGAGAGAGAGAGAGAGCGATGCAGTTGGAGAGAGAGAGAGAGAGCGATGCGGACCCATCTACCTATCAGGCCGCAAAGATGCTCCATCAGTTCCGCCAGCGCTGGTCTATTGCCCTCCAGACAGCTCAGGCAGTGAGCTTTCTCACAAAGCTGAACCTGGCAGCACGAGCAGAGAACCCCCCTCTGGGGCCAGAGGGGGTGATGAACCCCGGTGACTGCTTCACAACACTAGATTCACCTTAGAGAGACGGGGGAGGGGGGGGGGGGGGGGGGGGGAAGGGTAGGGGGTGTGCTTGCTTGGTTAGGTTAGGTGCTCATTGGGTTTTGTTTGCTTGCTCGTGCCAGTTGAAATCCTGCCCTAGAACCTGCATGCATGTACCAGCCCCTATTATCAATACAAAGGACCGTTTGAGAGAGAGCGATGCTGTTGGAGAGAGAGAGAGGGATGCAGTTGGGGGGACCTGCTTGGCAATTCCCCATGTGATTCTGCTACTGGGGATGCAGGAATGGTGTTGGCTGTTTGTGCCACACGCACCTCTCTGCCTCCTCTCCTCCCATCCCTCCCCATCCCTGTTCCATCCCTCCCATCTCTGCGCTCTCCCCAACTCATCCTGGCCACCTCCCTCCACATCTACTCATCTACTCCCAACTCAGGCAGCAGTGCGGACAGCCTTCACGCGCTTCACCAGCCGCATAAAGCGGGGCGGCGTTCTTGTAGCATGTGGCGACAAGTGAGTGGCGTGGGGCAACCATACATGCATGATATGCGCACACAAGGGGCACAGAAGGGGTACAGAAGGGGTACAGAAGGGGCACAGAAGGGGTACAGAAGGGGTACAGAAGGGGTAGGCACCTGTGAGTGTGCGTGTGTTTGGGCCAGCAGCATGCATTCTCCCATGCCACTCGCTCACATGACCACTCTCGCACAGAGATGCCATTTGTGAGTCGACTCAAAAATAGACTCATGACCACTCTTGCACAGAGAGGCCCAGCGCGCACACCTCTGCTCTCCCAACATGCCCGCCTCCCCCTCCGATACCCCGCCCCCCCATTCGTCCAGTGCAGGCTCTCGAGCGCTGGTCTCCCGCCTGCGAGCAAGCCACGGCGACGCCACGGCCACAGCCCCTCATGCTGCTGCCACTGCCGCTGCCTCGCCTCGCACGGATAACAGTTCACAGGGTCCTGATAGTGCTGCTGCTGCTGGCGCCAGTGCAAGGGCCGCTTGGCTGGATGTGGAGGAGGAGGTACGGACAGCTGTCACGTACGGATTGGACGTGGGCAACGACTGGCGGGCCATCATGCTGGCGCCCAACCAAGCGGGCGGCACGGACTACGTGACGGTGTTTGCCGGCCGGCCCATGGCGCGAGTGAGCCTGCAGCTGCCTGGCGTGCACAACGTGCTCAACTCCCTCGCTGTAAGCTCCAAAACTCCCAACGTTTTATTGAGTCACATCTCAAATGTCCCTTGCTGTGAGCATCCGTGCTTACGACTCACAGCGTGCTCTCTTGTTTCTTCTTCCCTTGTCCTGGCGGATCTGTCTTGATGAGTTCTGGTTCCTTCTAACGTGTCTCACTTTGATCCATAGCCTTAGCCCTTTCCTTAATGCATCACATCCCCTCATGCCATCACCTCCCCCCCCCCCACTTCTCTTAGGTCCTCGTTGTTGCCGCCCAGCTGGCAGCCCGTGACGCGCCGACAGCTGGCGACGCGGCACGGGTGGAGGCGGCATCACTGGAGCTGCAGCGGGCGGCGGTGGCACAGGCGGCGGAGCAGCTGGGGCGGTTTGAGGGGGCGGAGCGGCGGTTCCAGGTGGTGGGGCGGGCGGGCAAGTGGCGGGCCACGTTCGTGGATGACTATGCCCACCATCCCTCTGAGGTGCGCTGCCTTGTGCATGTGGGTAGTGCTTTTTGGCGCACACGGCGGTCACACCCCTCCCCCTCTGAGGTGCGCTTGCTAGGTGATTCATTCAATGATTCACTCAATGATTCACTCAATGGGCAGGCACCGTGGCACCAGCATGTGCTGCGGCCCATCCCTGGCGCCCATTCCCCAACCCTCAAGCTCCCCTCGCACGTTCCCGCCAATTCCCCCCCTCCTCTGTCTCCACCTCCTCGGGGCAGGTGCGGGCAGTGCTGCAGGCAGCGAGGCAGAGATACGATGAGCAGCCCATATGGGTGGTCTTCCAGCCGCACACTTTCAGGTGCCACTGCACTCCTCTCACTCGTACTACACGCCTTCGCATGCCCTGCTCCTCTCCTGCTGCATGCTCTGCATGCCTACCCGCCTGCCTGCTCACGGCTATCGTGCTGCAGATCGTCAGGTGTCACCCCCTTCAGCTTGATTTTGAGCTCCAACTCTCTCAGGCGCTTCCTGAGCGTCTCACACTCGTTGCTCTTGCTCTCTGCTTCATCTGCAGCTTTCGATCCATGGCTTTTAAAGCCTACAGGAATCCTCTAATCTCCCTCTCACCGTTGTTCCTGTCACTTGCTTACCTCTCTTTCCCCATCCAACCCCTTCTTGTTCGCTCTTCCGATCTTCCTTCCCCTGTCAACGTCCTTCTTTCCCCTGTCATCCGCCTTCCTCGCTTTCTCAACCTCCTCCAGTGCGTTCCCCTCCCCTCGCCCGCGCCGCTGTGACTGCTCTACAGTCGGCTGGCTCAATTCATGGACGACTTTGCGCCCTCCTTCAGCGCAGCAGACCGCGTCATTGTCACTCAGGTGGGCGCTACCTGCCATGCCTCTCGTGCCCAGCTGTACACCCTGGCTACCGAGCCTCCTCAGGTAGCTGCGTCTGCCCAGGTGTCCGCGTCAGGTCCTGTAGCACCCCCCTACTCGCATTCACACATGAAGCACACGCATGCTGCATGGGCTGCATGGGAGCAGAGCAGAGGGGCTCACTTGTATTCCTTGGCAGTCCCCAGCACCACTTCCCAGTACCGCGTGTGTGAGCACGTGGGATGGATTCCACTGGTGGGTTGAAGCAGCAGCTGGGTATGTGCGCACATGCACGCATGAGCAGGTGTCTCTCTCTGCGTGCATGTTGAAGCACTATCTGAATACACAAGTTCTTCTGCCCACCACTGTCACGCGCATCTCAAATGCCATCCCCCACACCGCACGTGCACGCGCACTCGTCTCCACTGGGGACAAGAACTAGAGGCATCTCAGAATCATTCCCCATGGCATGCCTGCACATGTCGTTTGTGCACAAGAAGCATTAGTGGGGCTTGTCCAGCAGATTATGAGGCATCCTACTGTCATCCTCTCCCCCATCGCCCCTGGCATGTGCCATGACCTGCAGGTGTACTCTGCTCGCGAGGAGAACCGGTGGGGTGTCTCCGGTGCTGACCTGGCGGGCAACATCACTGGCCCACCTGCTGTCTACGTGCCCAGCCTTGTGAGCCGCCCCTCTCACTCACCACTTTTGAGAATTCTCAAAAGTGACACGGCCATACTCGCCCGCCTGCTGCCTACATGCGCAGCCTTGTGAACCGCCTGCCTTACCACTCTCCCCTCCTCTCTGATTCCGCCTCATCCCACATCTCACTAGCGTCCCCCCTTCTCACGTCTCACACTCTCCTTCCACTCGGCCTGGTGTCTCGCTGTCTTAAATTTCCCATCAACCTCACCTTTGCACCTACCAGCTCACACACATGCCACATCCTCTCTCTCCCCTCTCGTGTTGCGACCGCCCATCACGCAACCCCCCATCTCATGCAACCCACAGGACGATGTGATCGACCGGCTGGAGTGGGAGGTGAAGGCACGATGCCTTGCCACCGACACTGCCACTGCCACCGCCACCACAGGCAGCACAGGGAGCACCACAGATGGCAGTGGTATTATAGGCGACAGCAGCAGCAGCGGTGGCAGCAGTGCAGGCAGCAGCGAGGGTGGGAAGTGGGAGGGGCCGTTGTGGGACGCAGTGAGCATAGCGGGGGGCCGGCACGGGCTCAAGGCACAGGACGTGGTCATCATGACACTCGGAGCAGGTCTGCCCTGCACTCCTCTCCACCCCTCTCCACTCTCGACTCCTCTCCTCTCCTCTCCTCTCCTCTCCTCTCCTCTCCTCTCCTCTCCTCTCCTCTCCTCTCTGCTCGCCTCCTCTCCTCTCCTCTCTGCTCGCCTCCTCTCCTCTCCTCTCCTCTCCTCTCCTCTCCTCTCCTCTCCTCTCCGCTCGCCTCATCTCCTCTCTCCTCCCATGCTCCACCACACACCTAATACTACCTCATGCTGCTCCACACCATAGGTTTCTCCTTCGATGTTCGTCTTGTTACACCCTCACAGCCCTTGCCTCTTACAGTCATGATGATAGTCCATGAGCTGGCCCAGCATTCTTGATTCCGGATGTCATACCAGCTTGTCAGCCTGTCTCTTTCTACCTGTCATCTCAGGCTCTTGCACATTCTTCGCTTCTGCTGCCCACTGTGCTCTGCTTGTCTGACCCACCAGGTGACATCACTCGCATTGGCCCGACTCTCCTGGAACGTCTTTCTTCGCGAGCTTGATCTGAAGCTAATGCAATACGTGCTTTCAAAAGGTGCACACAGGCTAGCCTCGGTGCAATTTCTGCCAGTTCTATGCTTGGGTGGCTACAGTAACTAAACAAAAATAACACGGCAAAAACTCATGGATGGTCCCATAGCTTCTCGTCATTTCTTCTGGCTTCACGAAAAGTGTTAGCTGGGAGTTCAAGTAGTGTTAGTGAGGCTCATGAATCCCGATATTACCCAGCTTTGTAATGTAAGTCCTCTCCTTTTCCTTCCATCTGATGCATGATGATTTGCTCAATAAGGCTGTCCTTTTGTTTTATATTCCTTAGTGCTGCAACTAAGTCAAGTGTACCCGTAATCCCCCGTATATAGGACCCCCCCTAGTTGTAGACCCCCGGGCAGGGCTCTCGTTATCAGACCAAATTGGTCTGATGGTCTGATTTTCAGACGTAGATTTTCGCTTTCATCTGATCTCTAAGACGATGTTTTTTATTTCGTCTGATCCGTAAGATGACTGATTTTAGTTCATCTGATATTTCAGAGCAAGCTCTACAGTTAGTCTGAAATTTCAGAGAACGAGTTGTTTTTCGTCTGATACCGATCCCCCTCCCCCCAACCCTCCCTTTCCCCCCCGATCTCTCGCTACTCTACCAGCTCAGCCCCCCCTTCTATGCCCTCGCTCCTCTTCCAGGCCTAGTCCTGTCCAACCCTTCTCCCCCTTTCCCCAACCTGAGGTCTCTCCAGGTCTCGCTCCCAGCCTAGCCCGCTTTCATGCCCCTCCTAATGTCTCGCAGCCCAGCCCCCCCTTCCCTTCGCGTCCCTCCACCTCCACCCACCCTGATCCCTCGCGTCGCAGCCCCTCATTGTCATGTGCGTGCCCCTCAATAGCCACACAGCTGTCTGTCAGCTAGCGAGCTGTGAGCACCGCGCCAGGGGCGCGTTCATTAACAAAACAAGCGTGATTATGTTAGACAAGTGTGTTAGCTAAATCAGACTGCAAATTGAATCGTATGAAGAATCAGACTAAGCTTTAACATTCGTCCAAAAAATCAGACCAAAAAAATATGCCCGTCTGAACTGAACGTCAGACGGAACGGTTTTTTTACCGTAATACCCCGGATATAAGCGCACCTGCGCTTATAATAAAACGTGTTTTTTTAGGGGGGTGCGCTTATAATTGAGTAAAATCTATAAGCGCATGCGCTTATAAGATGACAAATAGACATATATATTTTAAAAGCACTAAACTGTACATCTCCTCCTTGCAACTTCAACCGAATCGAAATTTTGAGCGTCCAAAATCAGAATCGTGCGGGGTCGATACTCTGCCGGTGCACAGGGGCAAAAGTTACACGTCAGACTGCTGGAATGCCAGCTCATACTGGACGCGCAGGATGTGAGGTCCTCAAAGTCAATCGAAGCGAAAATGGTTGTGTCCTCGCTGCAAAATTGGATTTCGTTACCGTTTTAATCAAAATTTAAAATTGAAATTAGACATGCACTTATAATAAGTAAGGGTTTTACAGGGGGTGCGCTTATAATTGAGGAACGGGCATAAGCGCAGTGCTCCAGATATAAGCGCATGCGCTTATCATAGGCCTGCGCTTATATCCGGGGTGATACGGTACTTAGGTATGTCAGACAGGCCCAAATCCTAGCAAGAGCCCTGCCCCCGGGTCTATAATACGGACCCGGGTACTCTATTTGAGTACATCTGGGTTATTCCCCCCTAAATGGTGTTGGAAATCCGAGTACCGTATAACGAATACTTGTTAGAATCTACTAGCAGGAATGAATTGACTAGATCAGGGTTTGGTACAAATATGAAACCCTAATGGGGTTGTACCCCATATTGGCTACCCCACTATAACCTACACATATATCACATGCATATAATTTGACACACCCCCATAGGCAAAGTGGGGGAGAGCAAAGGGTCACAAGACCAGTCAAGAGAAGCAAAACAAGCTCAGGGTGGATCACAACGTCACCACACACACTGAGCACAAGCAAAGGGCCACAAGGCCAGTTCACATGCAGAGGTATATATGCAACAACAACAGCACCGTGATCTCTACCTAGCAGGAGCAAGCATGCAGGTATATATATATAGATCACAGTACAGGCAGAGTCTACAGCAAGTGAGGAAACGTAGGCACAAGGCCCAACAAAGTACAACAGCGCTGATGATCACCTGGGTATGAGGATGGTACGGGCAGGGTGTGCAAGCTGAAAAAGTCCATCTACGGCTTGAAGCAGGCGCCACGCTGCTGGTACCAGAAGTTGGCAGCTGTTTTAGAGGAGATGGGATTCAGGACCAGCAGCTGTGATGAGAGCCTCTTTCTCAAGGGGGAGGGGGAGAAGCTGGTGCTGTTTCTGGTCTATGTGGACGACATTCTTCTCTTTAGCAGCAGCATGAAGGAGATCCAGAAGGTGCAGCAGCAGCTGATGGAGAACTTCAAGTGCAAGAACCTTGGGGAGGTAAAGTACTACCTCGGGATGCACGTGGAGAGGGATCTGGATCACAGGTGGTTGAAGCTGCACCAGGAGAAGTTCATCAAGGAGCTGGGGGAGAAGTACGGGATTGAGAATGAGCGCAAGGTTGCAACTCCCCTGCCAGCAGAATTCAAGCTTGTGAAAGCTGCAGAGGATGAAGGGGTTGAAGCCGAGGAGCAGCAGCAATTTCAGTCCTTGGTGGGCAGCCTCTTGTATGCAGCAGTTCACACGAGGCCCGACATCTCTTTCTCGGTTGGGCAGCTGGCCAGGGTGGTGCAGAATCCATCAGAGGAGCAGGTGGATGCAGCTGAGCGTGTGGTGAAGTATCTGAACTCTCACCCAAGCATTGGAGTTCAATAATCCGCATCTGCACAGGTGAAGCAGAAAGGGGTTGAGGTGCTGAAAGAGAAGGGGGAGAGGCTTGGAGAAGGCAGGCTCTTTCTCACTTGCTTTGCCGATGCTACGTGGGCCTCTGAGAAGGAGGATTCCTCATCTGTGGGAGGATACATCTGCGTAGTTGGGGGAGGACCGGTTAGTTGGAGGTCAAAGAAGCAGACGGAGACAGCACTCTCTTCCGTGGAGTCAGAGTACATGGCAATGTTTCATGGGGTGAAGGAGGTGATTTGGCTGAGGAGTTCAATACTCCGCATCTGCACAGGTGAAGCAGAAAGGGGTTGAGGTGCTGAAAGAGAAGGGGGAGAGGCTTGGAGAAGGCAAGCTCTTTCTCACTTGCTTTACCGATGCTACGTGGGCCTCTGAGAAGGAGGATTCCTCATCTGTGGGAGGATACATCTGCGTAGTTGGGGGAGGACCGGTTAGTTGGAGGTCAAAGAAGCAGACGGAGACAGCACTCTCTTCCGTGGAGTCAGAGTACATGGCAATGTTTCATGGGGTGAAGGAGGTGATTTGGCTGAGGAGGCTGTTGGAGGAGATTGGCCAGGAGCAAAAGGTTGCTACGCTGCTGTTTTGTGATAGCAAGGGAGCTCTTGGAATGGCCAGGAACGCTGTGCTTCATGGGCTCAATAAGCACATGCGTATCAAGTGGCACTGGCTGCGTAAGGAGGTGAAGAGGGGGACGGTGAATCCGATCTACATCAAGACTCACCAGCAGCCAGCAGACTTCCTCACCAAGAGGCTTGCAGATGAGCCTCATTGGCGTTGTGTGCGCATGAGTGGAATGAGCATGAACTAGTATGGAATGATGGGGATGCAGCCGGCAGGCTGAGGGGGAGTGTGTTGGGTGCAAATTCACATTGCACGACATCCTGCCGTCTGTTTGTACGAGTATGCGTGTGCGAATGCATTTGGGTATGAATGGAATGTTCGTGTGTTTGTTTGCTTTCGCAATTTTCGCTTGAAGCATTTGCAGGTACTCACGCATTGTGCGCTTCGGCATAACATTGTACGCGCTATGAACAGTACAAGCAGAAAGGACGAGCTCGCAAAGGAACCCAAGATGGAAGCATTGCGGTTCGGCTTACTTGATTGCGCAGATTCAGTTCTATCCAACTCGAAATTGTACTGTTTTGTTTGGTTGACTATAGTGTAGCAGGGCAGGCACTATAGGGGTACAATTTAGGTGAAGGTTGGATGTTGTTTGTCTGTATCTGCATGCTACAGGGCCAGGGGAAACCAGCGGAACCAGCATTTGGCTGGTTGGGCAAAGACAAAACAGGTTCTGTTTTTAGGACCTGAACCTGGTTGTTGTTTTCCCAGGTTGGAAAAACAGAACCAGAGGTTGTTTACCAACCTACCACCTGCTGTTTTGTCCAGCCAGGTTGGTTCTGTTGCTTGGAATTATTTGGGATCATCCTTGGTTGTTCCCAGGTTTATTCCCAAGGTCCTTGCTAGCTAGAACTATTTATTCTTTCTCTGTTTGTACCTGGATATAGTCAATTTGATTCAAGCGAATTTCTCCCTTCCTGGAATTTCGTTTCTACGCGGTGCGACGGCGGAATGCTACCCGAGTCAACGCTAGTACGCTAGCACTCCAACACTAGGCA